CCCTCCCTATTAAGATGTATCCCCTCCCAATTGTGATATGTATCCCTCCCTATTAAGATGTATCCCCTCCCAATTGTGATATGTATCCCTCCCTATTAAGATGTATCCCCTCCCAATTGTGATATGTATCCCTCCCTATTAAGCTGTATCCCCTCCCAATTGCGATATGTATCCCTCCCTATTAAGATGTATCCCCTCCCAATTGTAATATATACCGCCTCGCTATCAAGATATGTCCCCTCTCTTACCAAGATGTTTCCCTCCCCAGCTTTATAATATTCTGTTTTTGTAAGATATATCAGACTTAAAGGGGCTGTTAACGTAATTTCAGGTGACCCTATCAATGAAAAAGTTACATGTCGGATTCACCCTTTTCACTTTCATCTGAGTAAGAATGAGCATTAATAAATTTTAAGATAGAAAAGAGGAATATCTCTATAATTTTAGCTCAGACAAAAGTTGTGAATTATACAGACATGCCCCTCACTAAAACTGGAAGATCTCTGAAAATTATGTCTGTGATATCTTTAATGCTATGAGCTATATCACTGTGTACTCCGGTTCATTTAAAGTACCAGGCTGGCATTTAACCAGCTAGAGCATGCTGTACAGTACGTTTGCAAACTGTATAAGGCAAACCTTCCAGAGAAATTAATGTGATATTGATTGATTTAATTATCATATATTTTAATTTTTAGTAATTTTTCTTGCAATGAGTTCTTTCATGATTTCATTTGTTCCTCCATAGATGGTCTTCACTCTAGCATTAGCATAAACCTTGGCAATTGTAGTCTCCCACATGAAACCCCAGCCTCCATGAAGCTGAAGACAGTCTCCAGCAACCTTGTTCTCAAGGTCAGTTGCCCAGTACTTAAACATGCTGGCCATCTCAGAGCACAGCTGATTTTTATCATGAAGCTCAAGGCATTGGTCAATAAACGCACGACACACTGCAATGGAGGTCTTGAGTTCCGCAAGCTTGTGCTGAACCGTTTGAAGATCAGAGACCTTTCGACCGAATGCTTTTCTCTGCTTTACCCAGCTTCTTGTCTCTTCAAAGATTGCTTCACAGAGAGCCGTCGAAATAACAGCAATCACAAGCCTCTCTTGAGGTAGCTGGTCCATCAGTTGGTAGAATCCTCCATTTTCTTTGCCAAGTAAAGCTGAGGATGGTACACGGACATCTTCAAAAAACAGCTCAGCAGTGTCTTGACCTTTTAGACCAAGCTTCTGTAGCTTTTTCCCCTTGTGGAATCCAGGCAGGTTAGCATCAACTAGGAACAAAGAGATACCATGAGCTGCCTTGGATGCATCTGGCTTTGTTTTGGCCACAACAAGACATACATCACAAAGCCAGCCTCCAGTAATATAAATCTTGCTCCCGTTGATAATCCAATCAGAGCCATCACGTCTGGCCTTCGTTCTGATTCCTTGCATATCTGATCCAGCATCTGGTTCCGTTATTCCCAATGATCCAAGAAGAGTTCCAGCAGCCATTGCTGGTATATAGCGCTCTTGCTGCTCTTTGGTTCCATAATGGTGAAGATAGGGCATAACAATTGTTGAGTGTATTCCGACATCCATAGCTGGAGAAAAAGCATAAGACATCTCTTCATGAACTATCGCCTCATCAGTAAATGAACCTCCAATGCCACCAACCTCTGCAGGAATGTTAACTCCAAGTAAACCGTTAGCTCCCATTGCGGCCCATGCTTCTCTAGAAGGTTGGCCAGCCAACTCAAAACTCTCCTGTAAAGGTTGAATTTCCTCACGCATAAACTTCCTGAAAAAATAAAGATTTAACATATGATTTGGCCAAATATTTGATACTAGGCTTACAGTGCGCTTCGCACAATCTTCTATTTTAACTTGTGAAAATTTTCTCTTTTGATAAATAGTAAAATAAAAACAAAAAAAGTTCGCGGATTTTAAATTTAAATTTCTTGAATGTTAAAAATTTAATAAAAATCGAATTTGTTGGAGGCAAAATCAGTTTAAAGCTGTTTTGACAAACAAACAGGCAAACAGACGAGCAAAGTATATATTTAGGAGTAAATTTGATTTCAAAATACTCATAAAATTTAAATTTGGTATTTTTTTGTGAATATATATGTACCTGACAGATGCTCTTAAAACACTGTTGAAGAACAGTATGAAAACAGTACCTGACAAATGTTTTTAAAACACTGTTGAAGAACAATATGAAACAGTACCTGACAGATGCTCTTAAAACACTGGTAAAGAACAATATAAAACAGTACCTGGCAGAAGCTCTTAAAACACTGATGAAGAACAGTATGAAAACAGTACCTGACAGATGCTCTTAAAACACTGGTGAAGAACAGTATGAAACAGTACCTGACAGATGCTCTTAAAACACTGGTAAAGAACAATATAAAACAGTACCTGACAGATGCTCTTAAAACACTGATGAAGAACAGTATGAAAACAGTACCTGGCAGATGCTCTTAAAACACTGGTAAAGAACAGTATGAAAACAGTACCTGACAGATGCTCTTAAAACACTGGTAAAGAACAGTATGAAAACAGTACCTGACAGATTGTCTGAACATATCCTGCTCTGGACTGAATATGCTCCTGCTCCCTATATCTGTCATATGATCCATCTGAGCAGCGGAAGCTCTGATTAGGGATTCGGTATTCAACTGCATTGGCGGATTTTTAATCATCATTAATTGATAAAGCATTTCTGCATGAGGAACATTTACAGGGTTACTCACAAAGAATAAGACTTCAGAGACGACTGTGCGGAAGTTTTATTGTCTTTTTCCTTATTTTTACGACTACCTGCAACTGTATACTTGTTTCATTGTTAGTTAAAACATTAAAAAACTATTCCCGACATTAGCCTGAATTTAACCAATTGAGATTGTCATATCTGAAGAGTTCCAAGTTGTCTTTACAATCTCATGAATTATAGGTAACCTTCTATGTTTCCTGTGCACATAAAGCCAATTCCACATTTTGAAGTTTAATTAAAATTCAAGATAATAAAAATTCCTGTTTTTGAGTTGTGCTAAAGTTATTTGTCAAAAGCTTCTTAAAGCTTGCCATCTGGCCATGAGAGGGGAGTTTACTCAGCATATTCCTGAAAAGTGAAAAAGGGTTGGGCACTTGTTTTAAAATACAAATAATACAATAAAAGTTAAGTTTAGGATCACATTTAAAAAAGTTGACTGAAACAGTTTCTGCAAAACAATCCGGAAATAAAAACTTCGGTTAAAAGTCACGGGGTTTGGATTCCAGGAACTTTCCCGGAGGTTATCGTCTAGAATACTGCTCTTGAGAACCAGAATGTCCAAAATATTCCATTTAGTATTTCAGAAAACTTTGATGAATGTTGCAGCTTCTTTTCATATTGAAAGCAGGTTTTTGCTTAATCTCAACAATTCCTGTAGTCAACATTTTTAGTGTGGTGGTCAATTTAATACTGTGAAATACAATACTGACAATACTAAAATAGAACTGTGGCACTCGGCAGTCTTGCAGTACGTTTTGTAAAAAGCAACTTCAGCACACTGCAGTCTTGCAGTATGTATTGTAAATAGAACTGCAGCACACGGCAGTCTTGTAGTACGTATTGTAAATAGAATTAAGCACACGGCAGTCTTGCAGTACATATTGTAAATAGAACTGCAGCACATGGCAGTCTTGTAGTACGTATTGTAAATAGAACTGAAGCACACGGCAGTCTTGCAGTACATATTGTAAATAGAACTGAAGCACATGGCAGTCTTGTAGTACATATTGTAATAGAACAGCGGCACTCGGCAGTCTTGCAGTACGTATTGTAAATAGAACTGCAGCACACGGCAGTCTTACAGTACATATTGTAAATAGAACTGCAGCACACGGCCGTCTTGCAGTACATATCGTAAATAGAACTGCGGTACAGGCTTTAGCCTTTAACCTGATGTTTAAAAACAAAAAGTTGTATTTTTATCTTAAAGTGCATTAATTGCTAAATATTTAAAAAATATAAAATTTTTGTTTATCTTATGACATTTGTGATATATTAGCTTACTTTTCTTAATCTTTAGGACTGAAGTTTATGAAACTACTGCTTAGTGCACAATAAAATAACGACTCTGAGATAAGGCAGTTTTTGTACAGTGCATAGTGCAACAAGTTTAGTTTCTAGGGTTATACAGTACATATATATTATATACGTTTATCCAAAGGGATCCATATCATATACAATTTTCGCGCAAAAGATACGGAATCAGAGCTGGGAACTTTTGAATGGTGGATATCGGCCCCAGTATTAATGCTTGATTCACTCTTTTTCTTAATCTCGAAATTAATTAATGCTTGTTCTCCCCTTGTTATTAATCTCCAGATTAATTAACCGATCGGGATTAAGGTAATCCCATTCTAAAGTGTAAGGCATTACCTTTACTGATAAATATATGGTTTAAATGCATAATTGTTTATATTTAAATTAGTTTTAATACATTTAATGGAATTGAGTCCTTTCAAATCCCTATATCTTTGAAACCTGATAGTGTAAAACTTTGATATTTCAAACTTAGACTATTTAGTCTAACAGAAGTTTTAATTTGAAATATCAAAGGTCTACATTATTAGGTTGCACAATAAAGGGAGAAGAAAATTTGATTTTGTGACAACAACGATATTCTACATGGTTCTTATATTTGATATAGTATTATATATGTCATAGATTGAGCAGAGAATACATCATCGTACTCAAGTTCTAACTCGGAGTCAGGATTAGAACTGGGTTCAAGCGTGGACGAGTCGTCTTCCAGAGAAGGGGGAGGAAAGACGAACTTCGAACCAACGTCAGCTTCAGGAATATTACGAGGGGTAATTTTATCCAGAGATTGAGGCAAAGATCCTAGTGTTATATATGTATATATATATATATGTTATATATGTATATATATATATATTATTTTTAAATACTTGGGACTGTAACAAACAAAGAAAATTGAAAATATCATTCCTCAATCTTCTTGGCAACAAATCAGGGCAAAAACATTTTACAAATTATTAACAAAATTTTATTTTTCATGTTTATGTTACAAAACAAAAAATAAACAATAAATTAGAAACCACCCCTGAATTAAAAAACATTTAAAAATATTTCTTTCTAAGATTTAAGCTTTTTTTAAGTTGTCAGTACCTCCTAAGAAGTAACCACGCAAGCACTGGCATCTACGGGATGTCTCACGAAACATGAAAGTTGGTGAATAGTTTTGAATGTCTTCTTCCATATACTGTATTAGATATTAAAGACTTTTTGCAGTTAATTTATTTTAAAAAAAATATTTAACTCATATATATTTTTATGTGAAATCATTTTTACTACAATATATAACTGTCATAGAAACAGTGTTTTTAGTCTCTTTAGTATCAAACAACTTATCAAATTATGGAAGAAGACATTTAAACTATTCACCAACTGTCATGTTTCGTGGAACATCCTGTTACTTACTAAGATTAAAAACTATATCTTCTATATTTATATATATATACAGTTGTAATCTCTGTTTGTCTGTCTGTTTGTTTGTTTGTTTTTCCGATCATAACACAGGAACCCTTAAACCGATTTGCCTCACCGATTCTATGAGTTGAGTTGGCCGACTTTAATAGGGAAAAATAGTTAAAATCGTAATTTACCACCAAGTGCGGGTAAACAGCGGGAGTAAATATGAATAACCTGGGCAAGGCTGGGTTCCCAAAAACTAGGTAAATTTTAATGAAGTTATAATGATAAATCATAATTGCAAAAGTTAATTACAACAGTTTGTTATGTTCAGATATAAAACGGGTGTTAATTTGGGGCACATCTATGTATTTATAAAAAAATCATCTCCACTTGGGTATCTGTCTATTAGGATGTTTGTATGTCCCTTAGATATATCAGGAAACCTTTGACCGATTTGCTTCGAATTTTGAATTTTAAAGGTTTTCTTTAAAAATACTAATGATTGTAATACGAAGAATTTAAGAGACATCGCAAGAATTTATAAAATGTCATCTTTTTAATCTAATGGTAATTGAATGCTGCAGATATTTAAAACTGTTCCCTCCTACTTGATGGTTACAAATTTACTATCAATGTTCTACATATTTAGAGCTAAATTTAACTAGTATTTCCCTCCATTTTTAGTTAGGGGGATTCGCCTTAAAATCTATGAATCTAATGAATTTGACAAATTATGCTAAAATACTTAGAAGACGACATTTACTAATGATTTTAGTTATACTTTTCTCCCATCTATTAGCCAAGGAAGATGTGAATTCTAACTAATTTTTACATGCGCGCAAACCCATCATTAATACAATTTATGTTGTTTTCAAATATTGGGTTCAAAATATTAGGGTTTTTTTTTAGAAAGACGACTTTTATAAATGTTCCTATCTTATAAATTCTGCTATTTCAACAGTTTAGATCGAAAAAAGACAATTCATGTGGATGTAAGTTGTAAAGCGTGCAATTTGTGTTTTTTACGCGTTCAAAGAATATGCCTACAAAGTGAAAACAAAAGTCTAGATATATCATGAATACCTTTAAAAAAAGACGACTTTCATGTCAATCACTAAAATTCAAGTTACAGACAAAAATATGGTTTCATTCGCAAAAGTTTATTTCTTGGTAAGTGTAAGTTTGTTAAAACAATTTCAGAAATATTTGATTTGTTGGCGTGTATATCAATACAAGACGACTTTTCTATATTTTTTCAAATTGATTTACATGTAAACAAAGAGAAGCTGTTGATTGACAGCTTCTATTTGTTCAAAGTGAATAAATAGTAAAGTGGAACAGACTAAGGCAACGACGACAGGTTGGGCCATAAGGTTTTATTTGGTTTGGAAAAAGGAATGGAATAAACCTGAATCGCACCTCTCTTAATATATTTAAAGCTATGTCTAGTTCTCAACTCTTAAATCTGTCAAAATACAAAGGTGAAGACCAAGAGATATATTTCGAAGATCTAATTATTTTTCGGTATCACAAATTCTGCATTCCTTGTTTTACAGATTATGCATGCAGGCATTATTGTGCTGTCTGAAATTATTTATTGTACAGTAAAATGGCTAAAATTCACTTCTAAAATCTTAATTTACGTTAATCTATATTTAAGTTAAATACAAATTTATTATTATTATTTGTATACAAAGGGAGTCCAGTTTCTGTTGTATACTGTGCACTCGGTACATACCAATTTATATATATATATATTATTTTTAAATACTTGGGACACAAAATGTCGTCATCCTATTATGATGATTTTGGCCCACTTTAGTATTTATTCACTTTTCTATTTGTTTCCATGTTAACGTGTATCCATGCTGTTTGAAAGCTTGGTAGAAATCAAAAGTCGTCTTTATTGCATTAATATATTCGACGACAGCTGTATTAATAAAACAAAGTTATTGCCCATCACTGGTAGATTAATCACTAGACCTCTTTCACTCAAAAGTTTCAACCTGAACACTTTTAAATGTATGGATCGATATAGTGTAAATCGGTTTACATGAACTATATATTCATTAAGTTTAGAAGATTAACCACTAAACAGCTTAATCCCTTCGAACTTAAACCAACCCTCCATTTAAAAGTTTAAAGCTCATTTTAACAAATAAATTAGGCTGTTGTGATTACGCAGAAATGCTCAGGATTTTCATATCTGAAGACACAGGTAACTTTTTTCTTTTGTTTTATCATTGAGAGGTGAGTTAGATAGCTCTAAAGGGGAATGAAATTCATACGTTTTATGGACAGACAAATATGCTAATTTATTTATTGACGGATTGAAGAAACTATATAAGCGTAATTTCAAGTTACTCTCCATGCATAGATGCATGGCAATGTCAGATTCACAACGGTACCCTTGAAACCTTTTAATATGGAGGTATAGTTGTTTCTCGAGGGTTGAAAGTGATAATTTCTGATTTTTCCTTTATGTGTTTCTGCATGAGAAATGCGCAAGTCACTTTTTTAGAGAAACTCCAATTAGACATAAAGAGTTTTCAAAATTATAAACATTCAAATTCAAGCTTGATGAGACAAAGATTTTAACCCTATAGGCAGGGGGTCTGAATCTGAAAAAGTCCTTAGAGAATAGGTATAGGGTTAAAATGCTTGTCTTTAGCCCAATTTTTCAAGGCCAGCTCAGTGAAAAAAATTAGACCGATAACTTTAATATTTCTGGTTATCACTGTAGTAAACAAACAGCTGTTTTGCATTTTTCTCCGGAAAAAATATGAAAAAAATATTTACCTGTATAAGGAGTCCATCGAAAAGTCTATTGCGTCAGTAAGGGATCTGGAGGAACCTGAGTTTTCAGCTAGAGACAGAAATTCTCAGGTTTTATGAATTTATTAAATTATATTTTATAATGTACAGTGACACTCATTAAACTGTGGAATGCAATGCTTAACATTAATCTTCCTGTACCACAGTTTTGTTAGATATATAATCGCATTAGACTTTTTTTCATTTCGTTTGTTCATCGTTTGTGAGCGACCCAATTCGTTCTTTTTTTTAATCGTTCGGAATAAAATTTATTTAGTTCATTCTCAAAATGATTGCTCATTTTCTATCTATTTCGTTCGTTTTCCCACTGCACGATTGTTCAGTAAAATCGTTAGTTCTGTAAAATTGTTCATTCAGTAATCGTTTATACAATGAAATTGCTCTTTAAAAAAAGAGTAATAGTTTTTTTAAAAATATTGTTCGAAAAAATCGTTCTTACAATAACAAAACCAATAATTTTTAAAAAAACTTTGTTAAACAGATCGTTTATTTATTAATAATAATAGTTTTTTTTTCAAAAATATTTTGGAAAATTTGAAAAAAATATAGTTATTTTGCTCGTTTTTTTCTGAACAAATCTACACATTTCATCAACATTTCGTTTGAAAAATTGAGTTCGTTCACAAAAGCGATGCCCACCTCTCAGCTTTATGAACAGATTTTTGCCGAATTTAGATTCCTTTTCTTCCAATTTTGAATTAAGGATGCCGTGGGTAGGTCCATAGATGCTGTACGAGATCTTGAAGAGCCTGAATTTTCAGCTAGAGATAGGAATACACAGGTCTTTTTATGATTGGTACAACTAAATGTTCAGCAATGAGGGGGGGGGGGGCAAATTTTTTAAATGATGAAAATAAAGAATTTTGTAAAACATTTGAGCATGTGCTTAAATAATTTTATTTAGACTTCTAAACTAGATTTTACATCTACTTGTGTGTAATCAAATTAAAAGCTGTCTCTTTCATCTATACTCACATTAAAACTTCTAAAAAAAGTTGCATAAGGTTTCTAAACGTTTGCTCAATTTTACAGTGTCGCAACATCGTTATCTCTGATTTCACCTCCCTAACTCACTCAAACTGTATTGTAGCCCTTGGCATTTACATTTTAGAAACATATAGCATTTGCTTTTAGCTTAAGTTTTAAAAAAAGTAATTGGCAAAGTTATCAATTATTTGCAGGTAAGAAAATGCAATCGTTGGATCACTGTAAACTGCATTTAAACTCAAGTATTTGTAACATTTTCTACAGGAGGCCGTCGCAAGGGCCATAGATGCTGTACGAGATCTTGAAGAGTCAGAGTTTTCAGTTATAGACAGAAATACACAGGTCCTTTTCTGTATTTGAAATTCAATTTTAATTATTTACAACTATACTTTACAGGGAAGTTTAGAGTATTTTACTTTACCAAGGGTTCCCAACATCAATATTGCCTTCAACACATCCACAGCGCAGCGAGGGATGTTTTGTAGGCAAAATTGGTCGAGGGAAAACGTGGTTAAGTATTATTTTAATTTCCCGAAAAAGTAGTTGTATACAGTTTTATCGTCTTTTGAGATGCAAATGGGCGAATTTTTTCACGAAAACTTCGCAGAGCGGGTCGTTATTTTACTTAACTGTTTTATAGGGACATTAAGTGATTGAACCTCCCACCACTCATAGGTCATTAATGTTGGTCATAGGTGGTGAACAATTTGATTTACATCTGTCGACACATTTTAAATAACTTTAGTACATTTTGAAAATTTTTACTGTATTAGATTATGACAGTTTTTTTCATTGTGGTTTACAGAGAAAATATAGAATATTTCATTTATCAGATAAAGGTTTAAAGGACACTAATTTCAGCCATCTCATTAAATGGAGGCTACTTTGAAATTACCTCATACAGTCCCTTTAATCATAGTTTCTTTAAGGAGGCAGTTGGAAGATCAATTGATTCTGTTCGGGATTTAACAGAACCTCAGTTTTCAGCTTAACAGTTAGAAATACAAAGGTCCAGGAAAATTCCACTTTATTTATAAACTTGTATTTTCAGTAATTTTAATTCTCCAAAATATTTCGAAAATACTAAATCATTAAAATTAAGACATTAGATATTAAAGTGTCAAATAAAAAGATTAGAGATCAGTGGGGAGGGGGGGGGGGCTAGTTAAAATAAAATAAATTAATAAGGTTAAATTTTAAAATAGATGGCGTTGTTAATCTTGAATGCCTGAAATCAAATATAAATCAGAACTATTGTGTTGAAAATCTCGGGATCAACAGTATTTACTTTAATTCAAAGATCAGGCATTGATCCTCACATCTAAAAGTGTCCACATTGGATATCAAGATAAAGCATTCAAGCTTAACGATACTCAACACAAAAGTTCCAACATTTTGATTACACTCATAAGTGTAACATTGGGGGTGAGCAATAGTCCTCTTGCCCCCTCCCAGATCAGGTGTGGCAGGTTAAAAAATGACCTAACCTAACCATCTTCAAAAGGGTGTTTTCCCTCAACCCCCCTTCTCTAAGAAGCGCCTGAGTAAGCGCCTGATCAAACTGTAGAATATTTTGATTGTAAATTCTCAATATTTTTTTTTCTAGGAGGCAATTGAAAGAACAATAGATGCAGTCAGAACCAGAGTTCTAAATAACAAGAACTAAAACATTGAACTATATATTATCCATTGTGTAAATGCATCTTTAATAAAAGTTTAAGATAAAAAAGAAAAGAAAATCTTTTCTTTTCTTATCTAACATCTTTAACATTTCGTTCTAAGAGAATTGTTGATTTTGGTTTGGTTATACACAGTTACATATTAATATTTAACAGTCTTAAAAAATGTTGATGTTTTGCTTACCGCATTTATTTACTTCATAAACTAAAATAGTTTCTAGGAATAAAGTTTATCAAAAGCAAAAAAATGAGTGCAAAATCTAGACTTTTTTGATAAGATGAGAAGACCAAAATGGATTAAAGTTTTTTTCCCGGAAACCCTTAATTTTTTAAAAACTTTTTAAAATTCCACGGGCAATGTCAGGCACCAGGCACGACGGGAGTCACTATGACTATGAATAATAATGATTAAATTTCTTGTATTCAAGGTTTAGCGTATTTTGAATCACCCTGAGTACAAATCTCTATTTCCATTAGTTTGAGGGTTATATCAAAGGGACTGTAAACTTTATTTAAAGGGTTAATCAGTTTACAGCAGTCCTTAGGATTCATTTACTTTTTATGCCGATCCGGCTTCTGGTGGGTCCGGAGTCAGGTTCAGCACATTTAATGATTTTTTCCCGCTTGATTTTGTGTGCTGAAATTTTGCGAACCATTAAGGGATTTGTAAATTTTTGTTATTCTTTATTAGTAAACGATTTTAAATCTGTTCAAAGAGCAACATTTTTGGTTTTGGTTGATATTCAACCTAATTGGATTCGGATCCAGGGTGCCAACATCTTGCGGATCTTAACTTGAAAACGCCAATTTCGTTCAATTCTTTCTGTGACAGTAATCTGCACGTTACTTGCACAGAGGAAACACAATTGAAGATTATTGATTTTTCAATAGAAATCATAAAAATCCTAAAAGTTTGAAGCAAAATCATAGGAGTTGGAGTAAAATTCCAGGGTTTACAGTTTTGATTTCAGGGTTTGGAGTAAAATTTTAGGGTTGGGAAAAATTATCTCAGGGGTTGGAGAAAAATCCCAGGGTTTGGAGTAATGATCCCAGAGTTTGGAGTAGAATATCAGGGTTTGGAATAAAATCTCAGAGTTTGGAGTAAAATCCCAGGGTTTGAAACAAAATCCCAGGGTTTAACGCAGAATCCCAGGGTTTGAAGCAAAATCCCAGGGTTTGGAGTAAAATCCCAGGGTTTGGAGTAAAATCCCAGGGTTTGAAGTAAAATCCTTGGGTTTGAAGTAAAATCCCAGGGTTTGGAGTAATGATCTCATGGGGTGGAGTAAAATCCCAGGGTTTGAAGCAAAATCCCAGGGCTTGAAGTAAAATCTCAGGGTTTGAAGTAAAATCCCAGGGTTTGAAGCAAAATCCCAGGGTTTGATGTAAAATCCCAGGGTTTGGAGTAAAATCCCAGGGTTTGGAGTAAAATCCCAGGGTTTGGAGTAATGATCTCAGGGTTTGGAGTAAAATCCCAGGGTTTGAAGCAAAATCCCAGGGTTTGAAGCAAAATCCCAGGGTTTGATGTAAAATCCCAGGGTTTGGAGTAAAATCCCAGGGTTTGAAGTAAAATCCCAGAGTTTTAAGTAAAATCCCAGGGTTTGGAGTAAAATCCCAGGGGTTGGAGTAAAATCCCAAGGTTTTGACAAACAAAAAAATCATTGAACGCAAATTTATTTCATCTAAAGTTTAAGCAGTTAGCATGTTTATATAATCCGCCAAGAAGATCAAATCAAGCAGACCATTGGCAGATTCTGAAGTGTATTTTTAGTAATTTAGCCCTTGCTAGCTTGGATGCTTGGGAAATGGAAAGATGGTTTTTAGATCTGTACCTGTAACAAAAAAGTTATTGGCGTTTTAAGATCTTAAAAACCGTCCTGTGCACTACCCTTGGCATTAAAAAAGAAAAACCCTGTTTAGAGTTAAAAAGGTTACCCAGATGCCATTTTGAATAAATATTTACTAAACTATAGTAGTTTCTAGGAATAAGGTTTATCAAAAGTCAAAAATGAGTGTAAAACTTTTTGATGAGATGAGAAGACCAAAATGGATTAAAGTTTTTTTTTTTCTGAAAACAGCCGACATTTTTTTGTATTTTACAGTGTGACATGGAAACTCATTTATTTGAGATCAGACAGAGCTTTCAATGGTACTGTTTTGAATCACACATGCACTTTTTTTAAAACCTACCTAGCAAAATGTCTAGTTGCGCGCCTAAGTTGTCCCCTCTTGTTATTAATCGTCAGTTTAAATTCAGGGGCGGATACAGGGGGGGGACATTCGCCCCCCCCTCACAGATTCAGGGAGGGGCGTAGCCCCCCTGAATTTGGAATTTTTGTTCCTATTTTCAGAATAGCTTTTCAATATGCTTAAGGGAAAGAAACCCTAGCGCAAAACACGAAAAATATCTGTCTTAATAAACTATAATGTGTGAAAAGTTAAAATCTAGTTTAATCCTTTAGTCATTAATTTTGACTCTTTTTGAGTCTTTTAAGTCAAAAAATTTTTTCGCGTGCGGCGCGATTTTTTGTTCCTAATTTTGAATTTTTTTGTTCCTAAAAAATCTTGCCCCCCCCCCCTTCCACTTAATCCTTCATCCCCCCCTGATTCCGGGTATAAATCACAAAAATAATTTCAAGAAGTGAATGGGGGTCTGCTTTTTTTTTGTTCCCTAAAAAATCTTGCCCCCCCCCCCTCACTTAAATCCTGTATCCGCCCCTGAGCTTAATTAATCGATCGGGATTAAGGAGAACCCATTTTGAAGTTTTCAGCAATGCATGTAATATATGTTAAGTATGTAACACATGTCGCTTGATCCACTAGATCAAAACTTATGCAAACATTTTACTACACAACTTCCGTAGCACCCAACACCGAAAATTAATTAATATTATTGTCTCCTGTAACTCTTTAAAGCTTATTAGCTATCTGGGGTTCTAGGAAGAGAGAGCACTTTGAATTGTGAAAAATGTGTATCTTATATAACATCGCACCAATTTTTTTAATTTATTTACCACAAGCATGAGAACATAATGTGTGTCATTTATTTTGAAGAAGTTGTTCTTTATGAAATATGTCAAAAAAAGATTATAAAATTACATGTTTGCAATAAAGTTATATTTTAATTAAAAACAACAAATTTTTGGAAAATTATTTATTTTCTTTAAAATTCTAGAGACACCTAGCGGTGTCTTTACACAACACCTGTAAATCACATGATTCTTAAGCGGTTTCTTATACAATACATCTAGCGCCACTTAACACTGTAAATTAGAACTATAAGTTACAATAAAATTAAGCTAATCGTCATATGTTATTTTTATAAAATGAGTTTAAAAATAATTGTGCAAGCTTTTACTTACAATTAATTGTAATCGAACAGTAATATTTAAACGGACAGGGGTAACCAAGAGGGGCAAAAAAGGGAGGCTTATCAAGAGGGGTACAAAAAGAAGGCACAACAGGGGCTGACCATTAGGGGCACAAAACAGGGGTCTTACCAAAAAAGGGCCTACCAAGAGGAGTCCAAAGGGCCACAAAGGGCACCCCAGACTAACCAGAGTGAGGAGCATTCGGTTTCTTCTATTTGAAATCAAACGTGTTTTGGTCTTATTTTCAATAATCATTTACTTTACGGATTTGTTTATTTTATACATTTTCATTCAAAATACATATGCCAACAAAAAAGTATTTTATAAAAAAGGCTAACAAATTATGTTTAATGGGTCAAATTGTGATCGAAAGTCACAGCTTTCTGGAATATTGACAGAACCATTAAATCCACGTGAGGGGGGGGGCTTACCAAGAGGGGCACAAAGGGGGGCTTACCAAAAGGGCACAAAAGCAGGGCTTATCATGAGGGGTGCAAAGGGGGGCTTGACAAGAGGGGCGCAAAAAAGGCTTTACAAGAGGGGCACAAAAAAATTTATTTTGATTCATCAATATTGAAACATGATTTCCTGTATTCTTATTGGTTTACATGTCTTAGTGCACTGAATCTAAATCAACATTGTTATGTTCTGTAAAATAAATCAAAAAAACTTATTATTTTTCTTAATCAGACATCAAAAAAGAAATAAATGTAACTGAAACGTTAAAAATTCAAGTTTGATTGAATTGGGTTCCCAGATTGTTTTTTGAAAATTTCCTGTTCTATTTACAATGTACAGTGGTCATGTATCTAGAGATGTGACTTGCACCGGCTGGGGTAGACGGTTCGAACCCTGCTACTTCAATAATTTTATCAATGGAAATACTTATATCTTATACATTAGGACTAATTTAGCAGTTTTCTGCCACTGTAGCTCAGAGTGGCAGGGTCTGTGCACCCATTGATATAACTTGTTTGATTAGGAAGGCTGATATTTCTTGACCTTGTTCTACGACCGGTGGCATATGCCTTGCAAATTACTTCGTAACAATCAGGGGGTCTGTGGTAAACTAGACCTCTGATTGCGATGTAGTATGCACGGGTCCCGCGACCCCTGGAGAACTGAACTTGGAAGGATGGAATGACTCGGCGATTTCTTCTAACAGCTTGAAATGCCAATGGCCCTTGGGAGCCCTTTCAATGCCATTTGCAAAATATTTATTCTCCTTTTTCATAGTTTCCACCATTCTTCTAGTGGGGAGGATCGAACCTGAGTTTAATTATATTAAGAAAGCAGCTTCTTGGCAATGAGCTAATCAATCTTTACATATATTATGTTATATTAATTAGACTTAAAAATGGATGAAAGGTAAAATCCCAGGGTTTGGAGTAAAATCCCAGGGTTTGGAGTAATGATCTCAGGGTTGGGAGTAAAATCCCAGGGTTTGAAGTAAAATTCCAGGGTTGAAGCAATCACAGGGTTTGGAGTAAAATCCCAGGGTTTGGAATAAAATCCCAGGGTTTGAAGTCTTGATCTCAGGGTTTGGATTAAAATCCCAGGGTTTAGAGTAAAATTCCAGGGTTTGAAGCAAAATCCCAGGGTTTGGAGTAAAATCCCAGGGTTTGGAGTAAAATCCCAGGGTTTGATGTAAAATCCCAGAGTTTGAAGTAAAATCCCAGGGTTTGAAGCAAAATCCCAGGATTTGAAGCAAAATCCCAGGGTTTGGAGTAAAATCCCAAGGTTTTGTCAAACAAAAAAATCATTGAACTGAAATTTATTTTATCTTAAGTTTAAGCAGTTAGCAGGTTTATATAATCAGCCAAGAAGATCAAATCAAGCAGACCATTGGCAGATTCTGAAAAAAATCAATGATGAAAATGTATAAGTGTATTTTAGTGTTTGAGAGCCCTTGCTAGTTTGGATGCTTGGGAAATGGAAAGATGGTTTTTAGATCTGTAGCTGTAACAAAAAAGTTATTGGCGTTGTAAGATCTTAAAAACCGTCCTGTGCACTACCCTTGGCGTTAAAAAATAAAAACCCTGTTTAGAGTTAAAAAGGTTACCCAGATGCCATTTTGAATGAGGCTCTTGAGGATTACATCTATCTGAACCTGGATAAACATCACCCCCATCCTTTAGCAAACAAGATAATAATTAGTTTAATTTCATATTTTATAATTTCTCCAGAATGGATTTGATTAGGACTCAAAATAATAATTTAGAAAAGTAATATTTCAGATTCTGTCAGCTCCCTGAAAACGTTTCTTTAAATATCTCACATCTAAGATTGCACTATATTTTGGGTACAGATGGTCATAGTTTCTTCGCACGAACAATTTTTTTGTGAAAAAAGGTGTCGTTCAGAAAAAAACGAACAATGGAAGAACGACTTGAATCATAAAGAAAAATCAATATTGTTCGTTTTTTTACTAAACGAACAAAATTACCGAAACGTTCTAAAAAAACATCGTTTTCTAAACATACGAACGATTTTTTTAAAACGATATTTTTTTTTACTGAATGAACAAATTTTTTATAGAAACTATCGTTTTTTTTGCTAATTGAACGATTTTATTGAACAAAATTTAACTGAGGGATTCTTTAGTGAGAAAAATAAGGAAATAGATTAAAATTGATTTATAATTTTGAGAACAAACCAAACCAATTTGTTTTTAAACAAAAAACGAACGAAAGGGGTTGTTCACGCACAATTAAGCAAATTAACTGAAAAAAAGGCTGCGCATGCCCATCTCTAACTTTGGGAGGTCTTCAAATAGCAGGGTCCAAAAAGTGGAACCTAATCCTCCAGCAGTAAAATGTTTAAAAAAGATGATTGTAATGAAGTTTATATTTACCTGCATTTCCTGATCATATATTGGAAATGTACTCAGACTGTTGGCATATCTGTTCACGTACTTAATCATTGTGGATCCGACAACATTAGTTACTAAGACCAACTTTAATGAATTTGAGGCAGTTTGCTGAACTACCAACCGCCACTGGTTCACATCCTGAATCTCAAATTCAAAGTAAGATTCATGAGGATTTGAATTGGGTAATTCTAAAGTTTCATTAGGATTTGAAACAGTGATTCTAAAGAATCATGAGGATTAGAATCTGTGATTCTAAAAATCATGAGGATTGGAAATTTGGAATCTTTGATTCTAAGGAATCAGGAGGATTTGAATTAGTGATTCTAAAGATTTATGAGGAATAAAATCAGTGATCCGAAAAATGATGAGGATTTGAATCTGTGATTCTAAAGATTCATGAGGATTTGAACCAGTGCTTTTAAATATTCCTGAGGATTGGAATCTGTGATTTCAAAGCTTCCTGAGTATTTGAACCAGTGATTCTAAAGATTCAGGAAGATTTGAACAAGTGATTTTAAAGATTCATGAGGATTCGAATCTGTGATTTTAAAGATACATGATGATTTGAACTAGTGATTCTAAAGATTCAGGAGGATTTGAACCAGTGATTTAAAAGATTCATGATTTGAACAAGTGATTTTAAAGATTCATGAGGATTCGAATCTGTGATTTTAAAGATACATGATGATTTGAATTAGTGATTCTAAAGATTCAGGAGGATTTGAACCAGTGATTTAAAAGCTTCACGAGGATTCAAATCTGTGATTTTAAAGCTTCAGGAGGATTTGAATCGGTGATTCTAAAGCTTTATAAGAATTTGAACCAGTGCTTTTAAATATTCCTGAGGATTAAAATCTCTAATTTTAAAGATTCATGAGGATTTGAACCAGTGATTCTAAAGATTCATGAGGATTTGAACCAGTGATTTTAAAGATTCATGAGGATTTGACCCAGTGATTCTAAAGATTCATAAGGATTTGAAACAGTGATTTTAAAGATTCATAAGAATTTAAACCAGTGATTTTAAAGATTCATGAGGATTCAAATCTTTGATTTTAAAGATTCATGGGGATCTGAATCGGTGATTCTAAAGATTCATGAGGATTTGAACCAGTGATTTTAAAGATTCATGAGGATTCGAATCGGTGATTCTAAAGATTCATAAGGGGTTGAATTGGTGATTCTAAAAAAATAATGAGGACACAGGATTTGAATCGGTGATTCAGGATTAGAACTGGCTTTAGGTATTTCAGCAACCTCTCCAATTCATTAAATTTGGTCCCTGGATTCAAGAAGAAAGCACTCTCGGAGATAACATACTCCTGCCAGAGGAATGCATAGATGAGCTTGATCATGGTGGAGGCAATGTTGCCTTGAAGCTCACCCTTCTCCACCTCGTTCAGTTCAATATGACTTGTAGCATTACGGATCTAAAACACAGAGTATTCTAGCATAAAATTGAACTCTTGAAAATGACCAAAAAAAAGTTGGACGTTTCAAATCTCTGATAGAGTTATCGTGCAAAACTGAAAGATTTATCTATTATTAAAATTCGACTTTAAATTTCTCATTTCTAGGAAATTTAGTAGAAAATGACATGATTTTAGACTTTTTTTCCAAATGATATCTTTTAAATTACTAAAACTAATATTTAACATATTTTTTTTTTAATTGTTCAACCTCTGGTAGATAAAAATTGAAAATGAACTCTCTTTGTTCTTCTGGAAGATTAAACAGATTCATCAGTTCTGGGATTAGTATATCAGCAAGTGTATCATCAAGTAACAGAGTGAAGAAGGTACACACAAGACCTATAAATTAAACAGATTCATTAGTTCTGGGATTAGTATATCAGCAAGTGTATCATCAAGTAACAGAGTGAAGAAGGTACACACTAGACCTATAGATTAAACAGATTCATTAGTTCTGGGATTAGTATATCAGCAAGTGTATCATCAAGTAACAGAGTGAAGAAGGTACACACAAGACCTATAGATTAAACAGATTCATTAGTTCTGGGATTAGTATATCAGCAAGATTATTGTCAAGTAACAGTATGAAGAAAGTACACACAAGACCTAGGAAGGTGGTAGAGTAAATTGTAATATACTAATAATCATTTTAAAAAGAACCATTTCCCATTTGTGAGTATAAAAGTAAAAGTAAAAGGAAAAGTACATTTACCATTTACATTTCCCTAAATATTTAAAAGGAAACTTTTGTGCCATTTATCATTCATAGTCAATTCATGCACGATTTCTTTATAGCATTAACTACAGTTGAGTTGGTTCGATTTCACAAGTTTGGGACAAAATAATACTGTTAATATAATTGTCAATGTATTGTTAGCTCGAGATAAACTATTTCTGGGGAAGCGCTGCGAATTTTATTATCCCAAAATTTTGATAGGTGACTATTTTCAATGATGTTTTTATATATGATCTTGCTTGAGAAAATATACAAATTATGGCAAATCAGTCAAGGGGTTTATGAGACCTACAGAGATTACTATCTTATATTAGTCTACTCGAGAGAACCTGAGAATGTGAGGTAGTAGTCAGGTACATCAAGATCCAGGATTGCTTGGGTCCAATTTTCAACTGGAGTAGTGATAAACAACTCAGTGAGCCCCTTTAAATCAACTCAAGTTAAAATCCCTAATGTTGGTTTATCCATTGCTTGAAAAATAATCCTTTTTAAAAATGAATGCAATTATTTGAAAACCTGAGTAGCTTGAACAGCAGAGCCGGAGCGTGAAGTTAGACTCAGTTCTTTGACAATAGAGGACTCTGTAGGCAGGTTGTCAACCATCGCCTGAACTCATCAAATAAGTTCAAAGCTTTTATACTGTGGATCAATTGGAAAATCTGTACTGAATATACAGGGTTACCCACAAAGGATGAGACAAATAATAAAGTTTTATTCCATATGAACGTTTGATCTTTCTGTAGTCTTAATTACAGTCTTTTGTAGATGTACAGTGGTACCTAATAAATTGGAATATGAAGACGACGTGTTAGCAAATGTTTGAGAATCATCATCTTTCATCTCCGCCGAGTCTCAAAGTACTAAAATATTGGGCAAATGGAGCATACAGGGAACCAACAATTTAAGAACAATCCTCATATACAGGGTGTCCCACGAAACATGACAGTATGCAGGACGACTTGAATGTCGTCTTGATTATTGATATAATTTGCTGCGTTTATTTGTCAATCTAATTTTAGAAGTAAATTTCTAGAGATAATAATCACAAAATTTCTCTTGTCCTGCCATTTCCAAAATGTGGTCTGCCTTTTTTGTGCTTTCAATATTGCCCGAGATATGAAGAATTTCGTTCAGATTTCGACAATTTTGCTTTTATTTAACAAAATTAAAATCTGAACCAAACTCTTTATATCTCCGGTAATATTGAAAGCACAAAAAACGCAGACCACTTTTTGGAAATGCCAGGGCTAGGAAAATTATGTGATAATTGTTTCAAGAATCATGCACGTTAAAGTAGATAGAAGACTAAATGTCACAAATAAATTCAAATACCAAAGACGACTTTCAAGTCGTCTTCCTATTGTCATGTTTCGTGGGACACCCTGTATATACATATATGTCAGCTTTAGCCGGCTTAACGGCTGGACCGAATGGGCTACCATTTTTTGAGGAGACCCTTGAGAAAAAAATTCAAATTTTTATTAAAACAGAATTTTTTTAATGCTTCTAAAATTCCGCGGGCAATGCCGGACACTTCAGGTAGTTATTCAATAAATCTGCTCTGAAGTCTCATTCTCTGTGGGTAACCCTGTATCCGTAAAGATTCTATAAACATGAGTTATTAGAAGAAATATGCTCAAGACCAACGAGAGACTACTAAACAAGGCAACTGAGCTGGGAACTTTAGAATGGATGACCTTTAATCCTGACTTCTTGATCCGAATATCCACTGTGGAAACTTTTAATTTTAGTCCTTAATCCACTCTTTTTCTCTCTCTTTGGATATCCGTACATTATTTTCTCCAATGAGAGTGCAGGAATATAGTTCAGAAATTGTATTGACCAATGACAGCCTTGAAAATAAATTCTATCCCATGAGAGAAATCCGCAATTTCTAACAAATAAAGAATTTGTTGTCGGCCATTTTGTAAATTAATCGGCGAAGAAAATATTTAATAATACGTTTGAGATTCTTTTTTAACCAATTTTAACTAATGCATTAATAAATAAATGGGTAAGAAATTAAGTGAAGGCCCTTCCAGTCAAGAAAACGAACCAATCTGGCGTGCTTGGAATACAACTTGTTGATCTAAATATTTAATCTCAAGACTAACATAATCTCGAGATTATGTTAGTCTTGAGATGCAAAAACTGAGGATTAAGCATTAATCCTGATATCCACCATTCTAAAGTTCCCAGCTCTGATTAAGCAACATGGACTTTTTGTCGATTTAAATCTAAGCTTTGCATAAAAAACTGAGCTCTAATTTAAGTAAATGAAACCATTGTATTAAGGAGGTAAAGTCGTAAAGATTGATAACAAAAAATATATGAAATTAACTCTTAAAGAGACTGTACGCGCAATTCCGTGGATGATAAAGTCGGATTCACAATGGTACCTATAAAACCCCTATCTTATATCTGGAAGATAAATTTTTCTAGTGTTAAAAATGTTTATTACAGACGGTTCCAAATTTTCCCGCAGTAGAAATGCGCAAGTCACTTTTGTAGATAATCAGCATTTGAAAATAATCAGTTTTCAGTCTTACAAACTTGATCAGACAAAACTTTGAAGGGTACCATTGTGAATCGTCTTTGCATGGAGGCCGGAGGGTACCTTGAAATTACGCTTACATTCCCTTTTGAATGGGAAGAAACGAGAAAATATATTAATAATTTAAAATTTCAAGTTTTGAAAGAAACTATTTACAACCTGATGAGCCACATACGAAACAATATCTATAAATCTATTGTCCGCTACATTGCCCAGGTATGTATGGCTTCCATGCCAGAAGGATGAACCCATAGTGAGAGTGGCAAATCCCTATTTTAGTAAAACATATATATTTTAGATGCTGCATCAAATTTTCAGAAGAATACTGCAACCATGTTTAGTTTTTTTGGCGAGGCAAAAAGGAACCAAATTACAGTGGTAGGTGAACATATCAATTCAATAAAGACGACCTTTTTATTAAAGTTTTAATTAGTAAAAAGCTTATTTCGAATTACAAGGTTACAAGTAATTAAAGAAAAGCTTTTCAGATTGACAACTTCTTTTTTTTCATTTTTTTCATGTTTTGGTGTATCAATGCTGTTTAAACGTTTGATATGAATCAAAAATGAAATCGAAAGTCGTCTTCATTATAATTATAAAATCGCTTGCCACCGTATCCGACAAATACAATGATTTCTTCGAATAAACTAGTCTAACCAAATGGGCCAATCATTTTATTTAAGTGATTTTGACTTGTTTCTTAGATTATATTTTGTCCCAAATTTTAATAAAGTTTACAATTATAAACTATCTAGAGTTTAACTGTACCTGAAGAAGAGCTCTAACATTCTCCTTAGGCATACTCCATAGATCTTTATGCTGTAAAGAGTAAAACTTTTAAAATCTTTTCCTTTAAAACAAAATCTGTTATTTTACATTTATAGACAACAGTTTTTTTTAGTAATTTCTGGCTCTTTAAACATTAAAGTAAGACATGTTTTTTTTAGTTTTTGTTTTATTTTGTTCTTGATTCATTGGATGTAAAATTTGTTTCTTCATCTTACAGCATAGGCCATTCTCAGAGCTGATAGTATTTCTTTACAAAAATATTTTTTTACCTGGCATATTTGAGTGTTATTTCACCAGGCATATTTGAGTGTTATTTTATATGGCATATTTAAGTGTTATTTCACCTGGCATATTTGAGTGTTATTTCACCTGGCATACTTGAGTGTTATTTCTCCTGGCATATTTGACTGTTATTTTACCTGGCATATTTGAGTGTTACTTCACCTGGCATATTTGAGTGTTATTTCACCTGGCATATTTGAGTGTTATTTCACCAGGCATATTTGAGTGTTACTTCACCTGGCATATTTGAGTATTATTTTACCTGGCATATTTGACTGTTATTTTACCTGGCATATTTGAGTGTTAGTTCACCTGGCATATTTGTCTGTTATTTTACCTGGCATATATGAGTGTTATTTCACCTGACATATTTGAGTGTTATTTCACCTGGCATATTTGAGTGTTATTTCACCAGGCATATTTGAGTGTCATTTCACCTGGCATATTTGAGTGTTATTTCACCTGGCATATTTGAGTTTTATTTCAGCAGGCATAATTGAGTGTTATTTCACCTGGCATATTTGACAGTGTTATTTCACCTGACATATTTCAGTGTTATTTCACCAGGCATATTTGAGTGTTATTTCACCTGGCATATTTGAGTGTTATTTCACCAGGCATATTTGAGTGTTACTTCACCTGGCATATTTGAGTATTATTTCACCTGGCATATTTGAGTGTTAGTTCACCTGGCATACTTGAGTGTTATTTCACCTGGCATATTTGAGTGTTATTTCACCTGGCATATTTGAGTGTTACTTCACCTGGCATATTTGAGTGTTACTTCACCTGGCATATTTCAGTGTTATTTCACCTGACATATTTCAGTGTTATTTCACCAGGCATATTTGAGTGTTAGTTCACCTGGCATATTTGAGTGTTATTTCACAAGGCATATTTGAGTGTTAGTTCACCTGGCATATTTGAGTATTATTTCACCTGGTATATTTTAGTGTTAGTTCACCTGGCATATTTGAGTGTTATTTCACCAGGCATATTTAAGTGTTAGTTCACCTGGCATATTTGAGTGACCACATGATAGTAAGCAACATTGGAAGCATAGTTACAGGGTTCATAAATAGTGATGTTGTGGAAATTCTGATATTTTACAGATCTAGACTGGTTTTTGAAACTTAACTTAATCTAAATAATTCTTTTGAATGTGAAAGCTAACCCTCCAAGATTTGTTACTTCTGAAATGATAATTAGCACATTTCTTATTAGTCGAATTAAAATAATCCAAACTTCTGTTGGACTAATGAAGGTTAGATTCAGGTATATTTCTTTAAGTGATCTTTTTCCTTCTTATAAATGCGATTTCTTGTGCGTCATTTGACAACAAAGATGAAAATGAAATAAAATCTGTAATCCCTGAGTCGTAGCATTCTGCTCATGATACTTGTGACAGTGCCCGGTATCTAGACATCCACCCCATTCATCCTAGACATTTATTGGAACTTAGACATCTATTAGAACCTATAGATATTTATTGGAACATAGACATTTATTGGAACCTAGACATTTATTGGAACCTAGACATTTATTGGAACCCTGACATTTATTGGAACCGAGACATTTATTGGAACCTAGACATTCATTTATACCTATACATGTGCTGGAAACTAGACAATGATTGGAACCTAGATATTTATTGGAACCTATAGATATTTATTGCAATTAACATTTAATGGAACCAAGACATTGGAACCTTTATATTTATTGGAACCTAGACATTTATTCGAGCCTAGAAAATTATTGAACCTAGACATTTATTGGAACCTAGACATTTATTGGAACCTACATATTTATTGAAACCTAGACAATTATGGGAACCTAGACATTTTTTTGAATTTAGACATTCATTTATACCTATACATGTGCTGGAAACTAGACAATGATTGGAACCTAGATATTTATTGGAACCTATAGATATTTATTGCAATTAACATTTAATGGAACCAAGACATTGGAACCTTTATATTTATTGGAACCTAGACATTTATTCGAGCCTAGAAAATTATTGGAACCTAGAAAATTATTGGAACCAAAACATTTATTGGAACGTAGAAAAGTATTATAACCTAAACATTTTTTTAATTATAGACATAAAGGAATTTTAACATTTATTGAAACCTGAACTTTTTTTTGAAATATAAACATTCATTAAAACCTAGACATTTATATAAACCAAGACATTTATGAGAACCTGGACATTTATGAGAACCTGGACATATATTGGAACCTTAACATTTATTGGAGCCTCTGGTTCTACCTCTGGAGTTCCATTAGAATCAGAGTAAGCAATCATCCCTGCCCATGCAGCATCCTACAAATACAATTAGGATTCTCAATTTCCAATTTTTTACTTAATTATTTTGAACTTTTTATTAAGGATCTGCATGCAAAAGATTATTTAAAAAAAAGTAATTGGTTTGGAAGTTTTCAAAATAACTGGAAATTTATTGAAAGCGTAAAAAAAACTTTTTAGCAAAGAATCTTGTGTTTCTTAAACAATTTATAAAAATGTACAGCAGGACTGTATGTAGTAAATGCCCTACTCCAATAAACTCTTTTAGACCAGTATCATTTCAGGTGCAACTCAATCTACAACTCGCGATTCATCACCTTCAAATAACATAGCTAATATTAATCCGGATACGTAATCCTGTATTCTCAGGTATCTGTCTTCCAAGATACAACTCAATGTAATTCCCAATCTATATTTATCTTTCCAGAAAATGATTCAGGACCCTTTTTGCTATACAAGAAAGAATTACTCTCACACCGTAATCAAAGTGAAGTATTATTCCAACTGACGTTTATTTTACGTTCTATGATACAGGTTATGTTAATGAACGTAAATGCAAGTTTTGTAACGTTATCTACAATCGTATTAAGGTTAAACCCAATAAAAGTTTTGCGTAGTTATTTAAAAGCACATTTAGATTTACAGGCAATGTATAACGTAGTTTATCTAGGTATGTTCAGGTTTTATTTCTGTAATTTGCTACGGTATTTATTACATGTGTATATCTTCAAAATGTTTATTTTGTTTAAAATTCGGTGATGGTGATGGACCAAACCTCTGTAGAGTAAAAAAGTAGATGTTAGTTCTACATTTATTATAAATATATTTTGGTCTGGGTTGACCCTCGTCAGTTCTAACGATATAATAACCATCAAAATCGATAAAAAAATAAAAAAATGTAAAAATCACATGAAGATAAACAAACAAAAAAGATTATTCAAAATAAAAAAGGGAAACGAACTCAGATTATGAGATCGAAAAAAGATAATTTGCAAATATTCACTTTAAAAAAAATGTTTTAAGACAATTATTATTCCTTGAGATTGTTTCTTCACAAAGATTAAAAACAAACTGTGAAGATGTGTGTTTATATAGAGGGTGGGGGTCGATCTAATTAACGAACTTTTGCGTAAGTCAGGGGGAGGGGGAGGGGGGGGGGAACGGTTAGTTAAAGAAGGGGTATTTAAACCTTTTAAAGAATTGGACATAAAAAATACACATTTAATTAAAACTATTTTTTTCTGTTCATTCCTCTGAGTTCAGTCATAAAATCTCTGATGTTTATTTTGTTTTCATATTCCATGAATCCATGAATCCCACTGTGTAACAACAAATTATGTGTTTATATTATTATTGCCTTAAAAAAATGTCTCACAAAAATGTGCCAAACTAAAGGAATACTCACAAAGAAAGAGATTTTTCTAAATATATAATCAGAATAATAATATAATAATAATAATAATATTATGATTATCAAATAATTTGACAGAGAAGTAAATCAGTTTTCACATCAAAGGAACTAAAAATGTAAGAATTGTAAGAAAAATTCCATACAGTCGTCTCTGAATTCTCATCCTTTGTGGGTATCCCTGTGTCTGTATTTCCTAACCTGTGAGGTATAAAGGTTTAGATCGTAATCATCCATACATTGAACAAGTTCTTCAAAATAGGTTTCATTGAATCCATCATTACTCCCGGTCAGTAACTGGACCATAGCATCCAACATGCTCTAACAAATATTTAAATTCAAAATATAGCTTTGATATTGCAAGGGATTAAGCATTGATGCTCAAGTTCCCACATTTGATATCGAGATCAAGCCTTCAAATATTAACGATTGATACTTCGCACAAAATGAGTAATTAACATAACCCTTTGGATGAGAAAAGATACAGAAAACTGATTGGTCCCGACAAGGTACTTATGCAAGGAAAGTTATTTCAGAGGTGTACACATTTTTTGTACTGCAGTTATGCTGTCTTCGGGCGGAAAAGTAAACACAAGACGGATGTTACAGCCTGACAAGGAATCCATTTTCACAAAATAATCTATGAAATATTCTATATATTCTAAATATAGCTTTTAACCTCCTCGGATACTAAACGAACACTGATGCATCTATTCTTGTTTATAAATTCCGTCCAGAGAGAACTGGTTTCAATATGTACGCAGAGTATACGAAATTGCAATTAATTTTCCTTGCCTTAGTGCCTTGGGTCCCGATTTCCCCAACCACAAATGTTGATCTTAAAGTACAAAGATACAATTGGATTTTGAAATTTATAGAGATCAGTTAAAATTAAGATGGGTATTAAGTTTAAGAAAGGCACTAGCTCTATAGGTGAAGTAGAAGTGCAATTATTGTTTGTTCTAATGATTTTAAAAGGATGTTAGGTAAGAAATAAGAGAGTTTCATTCACAATTTTGATCTCAATTTTTCTAAAATCAAGTAAAGGGTTGAAGAGAGTTACTTGAACTGACGAGAACAATCCCTTGTGTTTCTTATTACCTTTGTAAACAGTCCCTTTGAGTTTTTTTTACCTTTGTATCTCCAGCATTTTCTGTTTTAACATCACCAGAAGGAAAGCTCGATACTGAAATATAAATTGATCTTTTCTTGTTTATTTATTAAGCGTACACTTTGAAAGCGCGTTGTATTGTTATGTTAAAATGAGCGAAACAGTTCGGTACTTACAGTAAAATATTAAAGAAATCAGCGTTAAGAATCATGTAGGAATTTGATTATTCGAGTAATTAAGATTTTTTCGATACAATTATTTAAAATTTCGAAAAAAATGTTCTTTTCAATTTAAAAGCCCCTACTCTGAAATATCTGAATACAGAAGATAAGAAGGAAAGATGTGTTCATCCTCCAGCTAGAAATAAACTGAGTTCTTATCGCCATTTTTGTTTGTTGAAAAATAAAGATAATTTTACTTGCGCATTTTTCAATTACGCTATTTATACTATTTAACTTCTAAATTAAAGTGGAGATTAAAAAGGGGAGGGGTAGTAGACCTTAGATATTTCAATCTATAAATTCTGGTAAATCAAATAATCTAAGTTTGAAATATTAAAGGTTTACACCATTAGATTTTTAAGAAATAGGGATTAAAAAATAAAACGCGATTTTTGACTTTTTTTATAAAAGCACCGGATTTCATGTAGATGGCATTATAAAGAAAGTCATGAGGAACACCGCCAATACTCAATAACTATTTATAATACTGTTATTTTGGTTAGAAGTGTTATAACGTTTTTGGACAGAAACTTTCTCTTTATCGAGAAGGTTCAAGCATTTTTAGATTTTATTTTGTCCCAAGCTTTATATATAAAGTTGATTTAAATTTTAGTTTGATTGCTAATTGAAAAAAAAATATTTTGGAAATATCCTAATTTTTTTAGAGAAAATCCAGGAACCAATCAAAACTTTATAGCACAAGTGCTATAATGTACAGCTAATTTAACTTAATAGCACGATGATTACTTTATAGCACTTTCATAATGAAATTCACGATGAAGTGAGGAAGAATGATAAAGTACAAAATAGTTTCATAAAAAATTATAATCTAAAATCCGGGAACTATATTTTTTGCTGGATCATTAACTTTGGATTTACACAACTGCAGTCAATAACAAGACCAGAAAAACAATTGAGTAATCTAAAAGTTAAAAATGCATTTAATAGTCTACAGATGAAAAATGGCAATTAGATCATTTAAACCTTCGAAATGTCATTATTAGGAATTGATTTATAATAAGATAAACTATATACACCTTTTTAGAAATGTGACTTTTATTCGTGTTTAATTTACTTTTCTGTTTTTAATTAGGTCATGAGTTATATAATCATAAGTCCTTTATGTCGATCAAAACCTAAAAAATTATATTATAAAACATATACATGAATTTTATGTAACAACTTGTGAAATTTAAACATTAATTTAACTTAAAAAAACTATTTACAATGTGCAGGCTCAAACCTTTTTTTGTAATATTTTGAAAGGTAAATTAGTTTTTTAGTAACCCTGCGTATAAAAGTTTATTGGGTTTTAATTTACGGTCTGAAAAAATGAAAAACAATTTCAATTCAAACTGAAAGTTTATTGAGAGCGGTCTAAAATGAAAATTATCGGTTTCTTCTTGATACTTTCCCCGGTCTTTAGTGCTGCTCAAACAATTGAGTTTGATTACAGTTGCTGTAAAGAAAAGGTAATGAATCAAAGTAGGTTTCCTATTTGATCAGTTTTTAAAGAAGGAATATTCTTAAGAATCTTCATCAAAATTTATACTCTTCAAGTTTGTTTCTAATACACTTTGTAAAGATTTAAATGTTATAAAACAATTGTCTGAGCTACTATAATGTTATTGAAATTTGAACCACCAATTGAAAATAAAGATTAAGAAAGGACTGAAACGAAATGAGTTTTTGCCGCAAACTCTATTTTTTTAGCTCTTTATCATAACAACCCGATTTTGTAAATCTTTGATATTTCAAACCATGAATTTTGTTAGATCTAACAGTTTAAATTTGAAATATCAAAGGTTTACACCATAAGATTGCAAAGATAGAGGGATTGGCAAATTTGAGTTTGAGGCAAAAACTCAAATCCTGTAATTTTTTTAATTCGGTCCCAGGCCCATATATTGTTAGAGATCTCATATTTTAATTTAAAAATAACTTTTATAAAATACTATTTTAAAGTTCTTAATTGTTAAAACTTAAATTGTTAAAACTTAAATTGTTAAAACTTAAATTGTTAAAACTTAAATTGTTAAAACTTAAATTGTTAAAACTTTATTGTTAAAACTTAATTGTTTAAACTTAATTGTTAAAACTTAATTGTTAAAACTTAAATTGTTAAAACTTAAATTGTTGAAACTTAAATTGTTAAAACTTAAATTGTTAAAACTTAAATTGTTAAATTTTAAATTGATAAAAACTTAAATTGTTAAAACTTAATTGTTAAAACTTAAATTGTTAAAACTTAAATTGTTAAAACTTGAATTGTTAAAATTTAAATTGTTAAAACTTAAAATTGTTAAAACTTGAATTGTTAAAACTTAAATTCTTAAAACCAGAGTCAAAACTAAAGAACGATTAAAGTTTTGACTTAAATTTTAAGTTCATGGTTAAATGCCACTTCTGACTTAATTTAAACCTAAACTTTAACAGTGAGGTTAAATATTTAACCCTTTGGTTAAATATTTATCTCGCCAAAATCGACGAGTTAAAATTTAAACACAGGGTTAAAATCTTGAAATCCCTCAATCGATCCTATTTGTCTATCATCATTCAGCGGTAAGTGGCATTCAACTAATTACGATATATTTAAAAGTAAAAACCTTGATTTAATACAATTTCACGTTTTAGATTAATTAATGTTTGAACGTAAACCCAAAATACGGTTGTAACTATGTTTGGTTTTCCGTCACGTAAATAATTTAAAAAACAGCTGATTACCTAATACCGATACTTACTTAATAATTCTCCGTAAATCCTTTTCTCTGATTGGTTCAGATTTTTCCCGGGAAATTCAAATTTAAAAATGAGAAAGTTTAATATTTAAGTAGCTATTCATTATTTTACAGAACTTTTAACCTCGAACTTGAAATTCGCTCATTCTTTAGTTTTAGACTCTGAATTGTTAAAACTTAAATTGTTAAAACTTAAATTGTTAAAATTTAAATTGTTAAAACTTGAATTGTTAAAACTTAAATTAAAACTTTGATAGAATCTAATAAAACTTTGATAGAATATAATGCAATTTTAATTTATGCAAACAAAACTTTGATAGAATCTAATAAAACCTTGATAGAAAGCAAAAAATATTTGATATAATATAACAAAACTTTGAAGAATCTAAAATCTAAAACATTAATAGAATCTAATAAAACTTTTGCAGAATCTAAAATAACTTTTAGAATCAAAATAGGATAATCAAGAGCAGATTGATATGTATAGTTAAAAAATTGTTATTAATGGATAACTAAAAATGTTTTCCAGGTTGTAAAGATTAAAGCTGATGAACGTTCTGGGATATATATTCTGAATGCAACGGTTGAAAGATTATTACTTCCTGAACCCTGTCATAAGGGTTGCCTGTACACCAAGACAGATGATCCTTCAGGTATATAAAAGCGAAACTGGGTACTTTCCTAAAACCTTTTTGAAACATTTTGCCTAGTACAAGTTCGCCTAGTACACTTTCGCCTAGTACATGTTCGCCTACTAACTTTTTGCCTAGATAACATTTTGCCTAGATAACATTTTGCCTAAACACAGTTTGCCTAGACAACATTTCGCCTAGGTAACATTTTGCCTAGATAACATTAGAAGGTAATTTTCGCCTAGACAAATTCACTAAAATTTATAAAGTTCCTATTTTTTATCAAGAAATTCAATTAAAAGCAAAAAAAATGTATTATAATAATGTTTACAAATTTTTTCTTAAAGGGCACTAGCTCGCTGGAGATCATGAGCCAGCATTTTCAGATAATCAGTTTTAGGTATTGTAGCAAAAGCTTGTACCACCAGTTTAACCCTCTGTTTTGCATCCTTGGCTCTCTGCTTTCTGCTTGTATTATCAGCCATATCCTGGCCAACTGAATTAGAAAGAAATGCTCGTCTTGCATCAGCATCTTGTTTGACAAACTGGTCCTGAATGTGCCAAACCTTTGGACTGTACCCAGACAATAAATTCCAGGTACGATTAAAGGATTCCAGCATATTGTTTGTTTCCATTCCATCCTCTAGAACTGTGCTGTACTGGTTCCAAAGACAGGGTGGGAACAATGCTCTCCTCCCACCCCGTTTTTCAATCCAAGTCTGTGAATAGTAGTACCCAAAACGATCAATCTCCTGATCATAATCCTCCCATTCTTGATCATGATCAACTCCTTCTTGAACCTGGGGAATGATCACTTCATCATAATAGCTTTTCACCTGATCCACAGGTACGTAGCAGAGTGTATACATCAGATAGATTAGTTATTGGAACCTGGGGTTCTGATTAAACAGTTCCTGAAGATGATGATCTCCCAGGTTCTTCCAAACTGCAGCGTTGTGATGAAATCTGCAACCTTTGTGGCTCACGGTTGGAAACACTTTAGCACATATAGAGAAAACAGCCTGCGCCCCTTTGTTTATAAATATTGCCATAGGTTGTGTACATTCCACATCAATCCAATCTTTGTAAATCAGAAATTCACCCCCATCAGCTGCCTTGGTAAGCTTGTCAGGAATGTCAGTGTCCATGTACTCCTCAAATGAAGAAGGGAGCTTAGGTCTTGGACTGATAACTTGTCTCTGGCGCCACAACTTCATCCTGATGGCACCAGCAGTTGATGAACTACTCAATTGTCCAGGAAAGTTTAATGAAAGCATGTTGTAGCTAATTTCCTGGAGAACTGTAGATGGAGTAGCTCCCTGAACCCCTGCGTACTTAGTCAAGACTGCTGATTCAGTTTTCTTTGCAGTCTTTTTCATCAGCTGATTTCCATGTTGGTGACTTGGCAGAGTATCCCCAACCAGGTTTCCACTCGATTTCCTTGTTCCTAAGGTGGCATCACATTTTCTGTTTGAACAGCGCCAATTATAAACTTTCTGACTACCAGGTCCATTGGAGACATATGAGAAATGTTGATTATCAATTATGGCTGGTCTACCTCGTTTGGTTTTCCCTGCCTGAATTAAGGACGTCATGTCTACATCAATGTCAGTAGAAAACTGAATGATTTAAACTACAAAAAAAAAATTGTGAAATTTTTACAGTAAAAATTGCGTATTTTTTGTTCCAAAAGCTGGTTAATTTGAAGAATGTTAATCTAGGCGAAAATTACTCTCTAATGTTATCTAGGCAAAATGTTATCTAGGCAAAATGTTATCTAGGCGAAATGTTGTCTAGGCAAAATGTTATCTAGGCAAAATGTTATCTAGGCGAACTTGAACTAGGCGAAAGTGTACTAGGCAAAAGTGTACTAGGCGAACTTGTACTAGGCAAAATGTTACTGAGCCCTGCAAAGGGTATTTTACCATGTCGCGTTGCAACTTCCCAATCGTGCTCGGCCCCAAAGCACAGCCTAGCTGCAGGGCTTGGTCTCCATTACAGCCTACGGCGCCTTAGAAGACCTAACCTATCCTTTTGGAAGTTACCGTCTAGGAATTATACTAATTATGAAAGTTGCTGTTGGGAAAATACCCTTGGAAAGTTGCCGCTTGGTAAAAGGCCTGAGGGAAAATACCTAACAATCCCTTTGAAGTCACAATAATACATTTAACAACTGAAACCTTCTATGTAAGGATTAACGGTTCCATTTTAACTCGTACCTGAGTAACAAAGAGAAATGAAATAAATTCTTGAACTTTTATTGCAAGCTTTTTATTTAAAGAAACTTAATTCTTAATTGTAAATTTTTGTTTTTAATTGGAAAACCAATAAATATTACCATTATTTTTTTTTGGGATAATAGTGTATAGAATAATGTTGTGATTCAGAGATTATATTTTTTTAATTAGACTTTAGGACAACCTCAATATCTAAAATTCTAAAGTTTTACTCTCAATTTAAAAGTTGTAAACAACCTTTATACAATTCACTCTTGTATGTCGATTCCATTTGCGCCTGATCCAATCAGGGGTTAGTCATGTGTTTGTTGTCTATTCTGAACCAATAAAAATAGTATGGCGGTAACATCTATCTATCTCATTATCCAATTAGAGTTCTGAATCCTTCAATCGGCGCTATAAGTAAATGGAAATATTTACTCCTATGCTGAAACTATTATATAGGAGAGTTGTTTTGCTTTGGAGATGGTGATATTGGTTCAGAGTGCAGGGTAAATACATCTATTTTCTGTATTTATAAAAGTCAAAGATAGTTCGATTGTAAGAAATCGAATTAGTTTATTTTTCTTCAAATAATTCAAAAAAAGTATTATATTCAAACTATGTCACCGAGAAACGATAAAAATGCATTATTAAAGATGCCTTGTTAACTACTCATTTGATTTTCAAAATTATTGTTCATATTTCATCTTGTTCGTTCATTGTCTAACCGAATAATCATTCAATTAAATCGTTTATTAAGTGAGATATTTTGTTCAGTAAAATTGTTCATTCAATAAATCGTTTGTGCAGTAATAAAAAACAATCGTTATTCAAAAATTCTGTCAAAAAATGCGTTTGTTCAGTAAAAAAACAATCTATAAAATTCATACAATCGTTTACGATTCTAAAACGATAGTTTTTATTTTCTTTGAACGAATTTCTTTGTTCATTGCTCATTCATTTTCTGAACGAAACCATTGTTCACAAAAAATTTCGTGGGTTCTTTCACAATTACGATACTCATTTATAGCCTTGTACCTCCTTGGTAAGTTATGACAGATCACAGAATGTAGTAATAAAGAAAATGTTCAAGAAATTATGAAATCATTTTTACTCATGTATGCCCATCTATATGTGATTTATGCTCCTTTATGCTCCTTATTTATGCTCCTTTATACTCATTTATGCTCATTATGCTCATTTATGCTTATTTATGCTCATTTATGCCCATTTTTATCCATGTATACTCATTTTTATTCATATGTATACTCATTTATACTTATTTATGCTCAATTTTCCTGTTTAGGTACTTGATACTGTATATTTGTTTGGAGGCACAACTGGTAAACATTTAAGATTTAACATTAAAATTATTGAATCTATGCTTTTAGGACGCTTTCGCCCACATTTTTTGAGGAAAATCATTTTTAACTCTGACTGTTCATTGATCTTCCCTGAGGTCATGTGAGGTTTGGTTCAGCTGTGTTAATTTCTATAGGACCCTTTCTCTGTATTAAGGTCATTCCCTAGCAAAAGGGACAATTTTTTGACAATTTAAGATTCTAGATTTGGTTAAAATTACGCAAACGGCTTAATATTAGGGAAAAAAAATTTCATTTTACAAGATCAGATGTAACTTTCATAGGTCGCGATCAAGAGCTAAAGTGACATCTTCCAGCCTATACCCCCTTTCATTTTTCCTTTACAGTCCCTTTGAACAAAAATTACTTAAAACTAAATTTTTTGATTTTTTTTTCAAAATGTTTTAGGGGTAAAAAGAACAAAACAATATTAAATATAAAAAACATAGTATAGCTATTTAAAATTTTTTTCTTTAATTTCTATAATTCTGTATTGGTTTCCAAAAATAAAATTCATTGCTATCGGACTTTTTTGGTATGTTAGGGGGCTCAAAAGGGCCCAAAGTTCTCAAAAATAATAAAATCTTTAATTTTTCACTTTGTTCATACATGCGATATGTCTTTTCTGTGTTTTTTTGGCTCTAGTTGTCCATTTTTGAGGTCAAACATGCTTTTTATTCACTTTGATTGGCTGAATATCTAATAAAGTGGCTTCAAAAACTCAAAAACACTTCAAAATTCCAAAATGTTTATGTTTCAAGCCAACACATATCCATATGTTATTTTGGCCGAAGCAAATGTTTTCATTTCACATATACATGTGATATGTCATAACTATGGTTTCTTTTCTCCAGAAAGGAAATAACATGTATCTTATTTCTGATAAATAATAAATAAATATTCTAGGTAAAGCTGAGGGATATCCTTGTGATAGAGCTTTTTTCAATAGAGAGAGTAAAATAGAAGCCGCAGGTATTTTACAACAAACATTCTGTTTTCGACAAACATTGTGTTCTCAACAAACATTGTGTTTTCAACAAAAATTGTGTTTTCAACAAACATTGTGTTCTCAACAAACATTGTGTTTTCAACAAACATCGTGTTTTCAACAAACATTGTGTCTTCAACAAACATTGTGTCTTCAACAAACATTGTGGCTTCAACAAACATTGTGCCTTCAACAAACATTGTGTCTTCAACAAACATTGTGTCTTATACAAACATTGTATGTTAAACAAACAAACAAACAATGGGTCTTTAACAACATTGTGTATTTAAGGGACTGTGAACTTCAAGTAAGCCTCTATGCAATGCCCGATTTATAACGGTACCTTTAACAGCTTTGTATGATAAAGTATGAATGAGATATTCATGTTTTTGCTTCTCTAAACTGTTTATTTTCATTTGCAGTTTCTTTGCGAAGTGGCCTGCGCTTTTCTTGCTTAAAAGAAGCAATATAGAAAATATTGGAGTTCAACACTTTTCGAGCCAGAAATAGTATGGTTTCAAGGGTATCATTGTTAAACGGGCATTGTCATTGTGGCATGGAAATTGCGTGAATAGTCCCATTAAACACATGGAAATTATGTGTATAGTCCCTTTAAACACATGGAAATTACATGTATATTCCCTTTAAACACGTGGAAATTACGTGAATTATAGTCCCTTTAAACAAATGGAAATTACGTGTATAGTTCCTTTCAACACATGGAAATTATGTGTATTGTCCCTTTAAACACATGTAAATTACTTGTATAGCCCCTTTAAACACATGGAAATTACGTGTATAATCCCTTTAAACACATGGAAATTACGTTTATAGTCCCTTTAAGCACATGGAAATTAAGTGTATAATCCCTTGAAACACATGGAAATTACGTGTATAATCCCTTTAAACACATGGAAATTACGTGTATAATCCCTTTAAACACGTGGAAATTACTTGTATAGTCCCTTTAAACACGTGGAAATTACTTGTATAGTCCCTTTAAACACATGGAAATTACGTATATAGTTCCTTTAAACACCTGGAAATTACGTGTATAGTTCCTTTAAACACATGGAAATTACGTGTATAGTCCCTTTAAGCACATGGAAATTAAATTAAATTAAATTAAATAAGTGAACGGTCCCTTTAAACACATGGAAATTACGTGTATAGTTCCTTTAAACACAAAATACCACGAAAGATTTTTTTGGCATGACCATTTTGTGAATCTTGTCAAAATATGACAGATTTTTATTAGAAATTTTCACAATAGTAAACTTTTCTTTTCACAGACAAATGTTATCTACATTTAACTCTAAACATAAAGGGTCATTTAAAACTACATTTTATGGTTTCTTTAATTTATGATTGATCAGGGATAACGGAGTACAATGGTTCCTACTATGTTTGTGGCGGATGGGTAGGAGGAATAAGAAGGTATAGTAGGGTTTACAGGGTGTCCCATGATAAAAAGGGGATTTAGAGACGCAATAAAGCCAGGGCTGGGCACTGTTAACATTAACAGAAGCGTCCGCTAGCAAACAACAAAAACCGTTAATTTTTTAATTGTTAATGAAACAGATTAGCCGTTTTAAAAATGTTAACTAAAAAGCTAAAAACGGTTAATTGATTATTATTTTCAGATTAAAATTGTATGAATATTTTTTTAAGATTTAAAATTTTTACACATATTGATGTATTTAAATGTCATCTTCTGTGTTTATAAACCCTTAACTGTAATATACCGTTAACGGCTGTGCAGTTAACAATTTTTTTAACCGTTAAAATTTTTTTTTTTTAAACGGAGAATGCCGTTTACGGAACAGACATTCCGTAATTATACCTTTAAAATTAACGGCTAACTGAAATTTTTATTTTTTAACGGTTGGAACCAACCGTAAATAAAAGGGCTAGAAAAAGTTGGAACATGCCCAGCCCTAGTCCAAGGGATCCATGCGGGCTCCCCGACAGACTCTGAGGAGCCGTTTAGCACAAAACTAAATAAACCATTGCAAGTATATCTATTGTCCATTTTCAAGATACAAGGAAAGTATATAGACCACAGTTTAGAAAGCACAAAGGATATACAATTAAATTAACACTCAAGGATAATAAAAATGGATATCTAAATATCGTATTTAATTTTAGAGAATGACAAAAGGTATCTGGAAGGGAGAAAATAAAAAATGATAAATTGTAAAATATTAACAGTTATTCAGGATAAATTGATAAGTTTGGGTTTAATGAGAATCTTCAGTAACTGGCAACTAAACTAAACATGTGAACGACCCATTCAATATTATTTGTATGTTCAATTAATCTTTAGCTTCCCTATAAATTGTACATTTTCTTAATTTCGCATTTTTACTTCAGTCCTTGGTGCTTGACTAATCTGGTTTCACCTACTAGCTTCAGTCATCTAGCTGTGATGGACTTAGAGAAAGAATATATCACGCTGAACACTGTCGGGGACATGATAGTAATGACTGGTGGAGCTGGTTACACAGAGTATGTATTTTAAACACTTGTTTAAAATTAGCAGACCAATAAATATCCTTAGGGGGGGCACCCCCCCCCCTCCACCCCTTAGTCCACCCCTGGTTAAAAAGGCAGCAGAAAAAACTGATCGAAATCTTATAGTTTCTTAACCTGTGTGGCGGTAATATTAGGAACTTCAATGGAAAAGATTGAATTTAATAGCCAAAATTTTGTGGATTTTCTCAAAATATTTCATACATTTCTAGAAATGAAAATGAATGTTACAGTTAATCATTAAAATGTTCAGTAAGCATATTTTAAAGGGACAGTAAAGGAAAAATGTAAGGGGGTATAGGCTGAAAGCTAATCACTTTAGCTCTTGATCGCGACCCATGAAAGTATGAAAACCGGAAACGGACCCAAAAAATGAGGAAACGGATCGAAAATATTGGGAAATCCCTCCAAAATATTGGGAAATCCCTCAACAATATAAGACCCTGATAAACCGGAATCCGACCTAAAAATCGAGGAAACGGATAAAAAAAACGGGAAATTCCTCTAAAAATTGGATTTGAGGGATTTCTGATAATTTTTGAAAAAACAGGAAACGCCTAAAAAAAATTCATTTTGGGGAGGTTTCCGTTTTTTTTGGGTCCGATTCCGTGTTGAGGCGTTTCCGTACCATTTCCACAGTATTTATAAAGGTTCCTTTCATTACGTGAGCAGAGGGCCTAGTACCTGCTGAACTTCACAACAGAATTTCTTCTCATCCTCTCACAAAGTTATCAATCCTATATCTATTAAGCTTATATATCTTCTTCTATGCAGAATATTTTCAATTTAAGGGGTGTTAACAGTATAAATTAGTTATGACTAATGCTTAAAAAGAAACTGATTACTTGCCTAAAACTCTATTTTTCAACATGATGCATGATGGCACACTGCAAATAAAGATGATCTCACACAATAGTCGAGCAGTATTTTGTCAATTACTTAATTAAGATAGAATTTTAAAATGTTGCGATACTTTAAAGGGAAAGCTGTGTAAAAATTTGAAAACTAATTTTCAGTGTTTGTCTTCGATATTTTTATCATGCAACAAGATAGATTTTTAATCTTTAAATCTTAAAATTGTAGTGAGTATGATATGATTGAGATTTTGAATGGTAAAAAATGGGAGTTATTAATGACCATGACAAGCCCAAGAGCCCAACATTGTGGAACAACTGTAAGGTAAGAATTTCTCTCACTTCTGCCGGAATAATTTTTTTTTCAGCAATCTTTTCTGAGGTCTGAATTTTTGTGTGGATGGATTGTTAATCTTGAACACTTAAGTTTGATATTAAATATGGACACTTTTAAAATTCAGGTGCTTGATCCTTCACTTATGTTATATACCTTCAGGGTATAGACCACCACCATGGGATATCATAAAAAAATTGATCAGTAGTTCTAATGCATAAGATAGATATCAATAATTGATATCAAAATACACAACTAAAAAGTTCTGACTTTAGTTAATCTACGTAAAAGAAAGTTTCTTTTAAATACTTTATTCCTGCGAGGTAGGGTAAGCATTACAGTTAAACTATGCGAGGTGGGGAAACCAATTTTGTTAGGAGCCACTTTTAATATAATAAAAATAATTCAAGAAATATTTAAGAAAACAATTTATTTATAAAGATTATAAATTATAACAATTTAAATTCTTTTCTTTTTTTTGAACTGAAGATAATATGACAACGCAAAATAAGGCCATATTTACACATTGAGTAGTTTTTGGTTGTACACAATTTCCTTACCAATCATCATGGAAATGCATAACATAAATTATCAATTGATTATAGATTTTAATACAAAAGTAAAGTAGCAAGCTTCTGGTGCGTTGCAAAACAAACCAGAATTTTGTAAACATTTACACAAGAGGTACTAATGTATCTTAATTGTACTTAAATATGTACCCTCTTGGCTTCAATGGACTTATATAATGTCGTCTTCCTAACATCTTCAAGCTGGTGTTTGTTCAGTCTGGATGATGTGCCCTGTATCAGATTAAAGAAAACCTTCGATTTAATTAGAATAACATTATTGATAAGCATTTTTATTAAAAGGTGAAAGTACATACAATTGGATTAAGGGGGAGGGGGGTTTATTTTGAGTCAGTATAAAATTCAATTCCATTTCCAATCTATGCAGTTTGTATTGCTTCATCTATAAATGTACAGGGTAACCCACAAAGTATGAGACTGTAAAGACGACTTGAAACTCCTAAAGTGCGATACATTTTTAAAATATTTTTTAGCCTTTATAAAATGGCTAACTTATTGATTTTACAAGAAAGAAAGAATTTTATTGTTGGAAGAAACAGACAGTTTGACCTACGTATACTGTCAGTAACCTTGTATACAAACCTTTTATTATATTCAGTAATGAGGAGTTCATTTTGATCGGAGGATTGAGTGGCACAAATGTCCTGTCCACTACTGAACTATACAATATCAGAACTAAACAAATTCAACCTTTGTCCAGCATGCCAACACCAAGGTATGTTTTCAACCTCTAGCCAGCATGCCAACACCAAGGTATGTTTTCAACCTTTGTCCAGCATGCCAACACCAAGGTATGTTTTCAAACTCTAGCCAGCATGCCAACACCAAGGTATGTTTTCAACCTCTAGCCAGCATGCCAACACCAAGGTATGTTTTCAACCTCCAGCCAGCATGCCAACACCAAGGTATGTTTTCAACCTCTAGCCAGCATGCCAACACCAAGGTATGTTTTCAACCTTTGTCCAGCATGCCAACACCAAGTTATGTTTTCAACCTCTAGCTAGCATGCCAACACCAAGGTATGTTTTCAACCTTTGTCCAGCATGACAACACCAAGGTATGTTTTCAACCTCTAGCCAGCATGCCAACACCAAGGTATGTTTTCAACGCAATTCAAAAACTGAAGCTCTTTATTCCAGGATCTTAAACCTAAAAACGTGTAGTTTTTTCAATACAATTTGTTAATATCTAGATGTGACAGAAAAATATTGATTATTTAAACTGAATTTTTTTTTCAATTTATTCGGAGAAGATTCGATAACCAACCTATACTACTTTATGGCACTGCTATATAATGCAGTTTACTACCATGCAGTGACCTGCATGTCAAATAGTTGATTTTTCATATAATTATCTCTATCATTTAACATGTTAGTGGTTTACCTACAAGATCTTCTTAATCTTTTATATTTTTATCTGTCAGCATATTTTTTATGAAGCTTCAAGCAATCAACCTCCCCAATGATGTATATATGCATGATTTAAACGAAAATAATTACATTTTTTTTGGTTTTAATAAATATTTGTTTGCATGTTGATATTTTAGAAAAAAGATTACATTGTATGAGGTTAAAATATTTAGGTATAGCATATGAATGTGCATTGTGCAGGGTAATTACCACGAAACATGACATAAGTCTTGGATCTTTAAAATATTTTAAGGCATTTATTCGAGACTAAAATTTTAGAAGTAAAATTCTAGAATTAATAGTCTAAAAATACCCCTATATTCTTAAAATTTTCAAAATGTGGTAAAGTTTACCAGCTTTCGTAGTTTTTATTTTAAACATTAATGGACATTTCTATGAACCATTCGTTATGAAATATTTCATATATAGTATTTTTTAAATTAAAAATTAAAGCAAAGTTAAATAAACTTAAAAGAAAAAAATGAATATATGCACACATTACGAATTAGAGGAAAAATTTTAATATTCTAAAGTTTTCATAATTGGCATGAATACCTCATACCTACTTCTATCCCCTGATTTGAACCTAAACCTCAATGTTTGTCGTATGTAAAATGTTCAGGTATGGATGTCCATGTGTATGTATAATGTTCAGGTATGGATGTGCATGTATGTATAATGTTCAGGTATGGATGTGAATCTATGTATAATGTTCAGGTATGGATGTGCATCTATGTATAATGTTCAGGTATGAATGTGAATGTATGTATAATGTTCAGGTATGGATGTGCATGTATGTATAATGTTCAGGTATGGATGTGAATCTATGTATAATGTTCAGGTATGGATGTGCATCTATGTATAATGTTCAATGTGAATGTATGTATAATGTTCAGGTATGGATGTGCATGTATGTATAATGTTCAGGTATGGATGTGCATGTACGTATCATTCGAGTGACATCTACGTTGCAGGAGGGTTAACAACTTACAGTTCTACCCAAGCTGTGAACACTGTAGAGGTGTATAGAGTTGATACTGGGGTTTGGCAAACTTTCAAGGAATCGATCAAAAACAGTTTACACATTTGATGTTAAAGTCCGAAAAGAACCGATACCTGTAACAAACTCAGATTTTTTTCTTTGGAACTTTTTAGTGTAAATCTAAGATATTGAAAACTTTGATATTTTGATCTCACAGAGGTCATAGTTTGAAATATCATTAAAACGTCAGGTGATGCTGACATTCCCTTAAAAACTCATCTGAAATCACGCTGACGGTTCCTATAAAATCTCACATGAAACTACGCGGACAGTTCCTTTAAAAGATCACTTGAAATTACACTGACAGTTCCTATAAAAGCTCACCTGAAATTACGCTGACAGTTCCTATAAAAGCTCACCTGAAATTACGCTGACTGTTCCTATAAAAGCTCACCTGAAATTACGCTGACTGTTCCTATAAAACGACAAGTGATTAATTATGAACAACGTGCACAACATTTCCAATACAAATCCAGTTTTGAAAATTATAAATTCATACATAGCTTAAGTCCTGCTGATCTATTAAAAAAAAAGAATTGTATCGATGGTTCGCAGGAAATGAATACTGGAAGAATTCGGTTTACATTAGATGTAGTTAATGAAGTTTTAGCAGTCTTTGGTGGAGAAAGTACTGAAGCGATCCAATCTATGGAAACTTATTCGGAAGAAGATGAAAAATGGATTCAAAAGACTACAAAGTTTGAGCATAAGGATCATCTGTCCATCATAATACCTTGTAATTAAAAAAAAAACTTATTCTTGGGATGAGAAAATAACAGTAATAAGCATAATAATGTGTTTTTTTTAATAATTCGGATTTAATAAAATTGATTTATTTATTAGTTTTAAATGTTATAAGAGAAATAGTATGTTTTACAATATTGGGTGTTTAAGGCGCTTTGCGCCCTCTTTTTTTATTAACAGTATTTGCTTTTAACCATATCACAATTGAGGGGGTGGGTAGGTGTTTTCCATCCCCCCTGTGTTTTTTTTTCTGAATAACGTAACATGAAAAACTTTTGTATTAATTAAGATACCGGGCTAAAGCTTATGCATTTAAAAAGCCCTTGAAAAACTAATAATATGATAATATGTGTCACATGTTAATATTTGTCATTTGTAAAAATAACTATTTTTGAAAATGTTTTTTGACATACTTTTTGAACTTTTTTAAAATCCTTCCTTACACCCTAAGTATCCTTCACAACCCTAAAGGCGGAAAACCCCCCCCCCCCCCTTCATCTATATTCGACAAAAATAGCCCAATCGAGATAAGGTTAACTGTTACTATAAAAGCTGCCATTTTTATCTTTCTCAAACTTTTCGCGGATTTTTCTGTATGAATTAATGCATTTTTAGAGACGAAAACTTTAATTATTTTGTTGTTATTCTTTGATAACTTAGCATTCCTTGATTACATTACTGGAAGTACTTTCAGATAAAACATCATAAAATTATCCAAATTTTAAACAAAGATTTTGGACAAATTAACTTTTTTTTTAATTATACAGAGTGTATATTGCAACTATAGGGTTGTTTGGTTTGTTATTAAAACTTTTAATAAAACTTCTTATTCAATAAAAACTGTAATCTGTTAAAGTTTGCTTTCATTAAAACTATTAATTAAATAATAATATTTTAATCAAAAGAAATAATTTTTAGGAACACTTTTAATTTTTTTTATGTCTTTCGTCTCTGGGTTCAAATTTGGTTTTATGTAAGAAAATAAAATGATAATAATAAAGAATTTATACATTTCTAGTACTTCTTAGATATTTTGAAACCTTTTAAAATTTCAACCCCTTCAAAAAAGAACAAAAAAGATTCACATGCAATGCTAAGTGCAACCAACATTTAAGCTAATTTTGGAGAAATAAAATAAACAAGTTTCAGCTCTGGAAATACAAATAAAAAATTAATAATTTTGCAATAAAAAATCCCAGAAAAGTGGTAATTAACTGAATTAAAATCAAACATATAACTTTAATGCAATATTAATGGGAGAAAACGATAAAAATCAATATACAGCTGAAAAAAGAATTTTTCTAAAAAATATTATGCTCGTAAACATATGAACAAGTGAGAAATAGAAATAATCTTTTATAATTATAAAATGTGAATATATATCCCTGAATAATTATAAAATGTGAATATATATCCTTGAATAATTATAAAATGTGAATATATATCCTTGAATAATTATAAAATGTGAATATATATCCTTGAATAATTATAAAATGTGAATATATATCCCTGAATAATTATAAAATGTGAATATATATCCCTGAATAATTATAAAATGTGAATATATATCCCTGAATAATTATAAAATGTGAATAAAATGTCTGCAAGCATCTACCTGATCTAAACTCATGTGATATATATATAAGTCGCCATTTTTAGATTTAGTCTTCTTTGTTCTATTTTCATGTAAAAATATATTAGTTGTTTTTTGATTTTCGTCTTTTATTTAGCCGTCGCTAAACAGACCACATTTTGGAAATGGCAGGACTAGGGGAATTTTGTGATTATTATCTCTAGAAATTTACTTCTAAAATTAGGTTGACAAATAAACACAGCAAATTATATCAAAAATCAAGACGACATTCAAGTCCTCTTGCATACTGTCATGTTTCGTGGGACACCCTGTATGTAAATACTATTTACTAATTTGATACTAATACTAATTTGAAAAAAGAACCCCCTTTCACTCCCTTTTGTACAATTTTCACATTGTTAATAAATTTTCAGATTAAATCATGGTCAAGATTATAAATGTCTCCGCATGGATGCTTCTCCTTAATACAGGAATTAAAAAACATTTTTTAATTACATTTTTTAGTGGATCAACTAATTAAAATAACCTACTCTGGTTAGGCGGGTCCAAACTACATAGTAAATTGTGATTTTTTTGTTTGTATTATCTCGTGCTTTGTAGTTGAAAAAAAATATGGAAATATGAAATAAAATACATAAAAACTAATTTATTTTCTTTTTATATTAGTCCTGGGATTCCATCAAGGAGAACAGTTTATTAGAATCCAATCTCCAGGTAATTATTGATCCTTAGGATCCAAATCTCCAGGTAATTATTGATCACTAGGATCCCAATCTCCAGGTAATTATTGATCCTTAGGATCCCAATTTTCAGGTAATTATTGATCCTTAGGATCCAAATCTCCAGGTAATTATTGATCACTAGGATACCAATCTCCAGGTAATTATTGATCCTTAGGATCTCAATCTCCAGGTAATTATTGAGTCCTAGGTTACCAATCTCCGGGTCATCAGTGGTCCTTATGATCCCAATTTTCAGGTTATTATTGATCCTTAGGATTCCAAATCTCCAGGTAATTATTGATCACTAGGATACCAATCTCCAGATAATTATTGATCCTTAGGATCTCAATCTCCAGGTAATTATTGATCCCTAGGATCTCAATCTCCAGGTAATTATTGATCCCTAGGATCCCGATCTCCAGGTAATTATTGATCACTAGGATTTCAAATCTCCAGGTAATTATTGATCCCTAGGATCTCAATCTCCAGGTAATTATTGATCCCTAGGATCCCAATCTCCAGGTAATTATAGATCACTAGGATTTCAAATCTCCAGGTAATTATTGATCCCTAGGATCCCAATATGATTCTTTCCCTTTCTTCGTTTTTACTTCTTCCACATCTCTTTGCACTGTTCCAACTATTACCTCTAAAGCTCGTTTTCCTTGCTCCATTTGTTCCAATCTTTGCATTATGATCTCAAGCTGTGAGTATGGGGGGGTTTCTACCACTTTTGCAGTATATGCCCTACTCCATAAGGGGATCTCAAACCCATATCTATCCAGGTACAATTTGTCAGCTATCAATGTCAGCACGGACACAAGCTCAGCTATCAATGTCAACACGAACACAAGCTCTTACTCAATCAATGCCAAACCAATGGGTATTATCTCAGATCGTATGTTTAAACGAGGGCCAGCTATCAATGTCAACAGGGACACAAGCTCTTAACCTTTTAATGCCAAACCAATGGGCACGATCTCATAAGCTATTGATATCAATCGGAAGCTCGTGACTATCAATGTCAAACCAATTGGCACGATTTCAGCTTGTCTGTTAAAACGAGGAACAGCTATCAATGTCAACAGGGGTACAAGCTCTTAATCTATCGATGCCAAACCAATGGGCACAATCTCTTACGCTATTGATATTGTATCCAATATATTTAGGTAGTCTATCCTTCTACAAGAGTGCTACTGTATCCCCTGTATTTTATATATATTTAGGTAGTCTACCCTTCTACAAGAGTGCTACTGTATCCCCTGTATTTTATATATTTAGGTAGTCTACCCTTCTACAAGAGTGCTACTGTATCCCCTGTATTTTATATGTTTAGGTAGTCTACCGTTCTACAAGAGTGCTACTGTATCCCCTGTATTTTATATATTTAGGTAGTCTACCCTTCTACAAGAGTGCTACTGTATCCCCTGTATCAAGGTTTCAATGTATAATTAAGTGCAACCAAGACCAATATTGTGATAGGTTTGATTTCAAGGTATACAAAACTTAAAACAATACAGTGATAACCAAACAAAACTGAAATAGGAAGTCGACTTTTAGAATTAAGCTATGGCATTATATAGTCCAATGAACATAGGCACAGCCATTGTGCAGTGTAAACAGTAAAAACACTGCACAATTCACCTAATAAGTAGTAAATAACTAACTTTTTTCAGCTTTTTGCTTTGTCACATCAAATTCACATATCATTTCACCTTTCTATTCTTCAGTTTGCTTGAATTATACTGGAATCTTTATTTCTTTTCTTGTTATGAACTAGACAAATTAAAAAAAGAAAAACTCCCAAATTTTTTTCTTTTCTAAAATTTATATTTTGTAAATTTTAGAATGAAGAATGTACTCTAGGGAGAGGAAAATGTAAGTTTAAAGTTTAAATTGAATTATAATGGAGTCTATACTGCAGTCGTTGTTGTATGTATCACTTAAATAAAGACGACTTTGGATTCCTACCAAGCTTTCAAACACATAAACATGGAAGCAAAGAGAAGCTGACAATTAACAGTTTTTCTTTGTTTACTTGTAAACTTGATTTTTAAAAAAGCTTGTCCGATACTTGTTTGATTTTCGCTCCGATGCTTCAACAAATTTTCAAATTTGACATTAATTAAAGAAAATATCATCCCATACATGAATAGAAACTTGTCTGTCTACAGCATACAATACCTTTTGTATTTCATATAATTTGCTGACAGTTGTTTCTTGGCAAAATACTGTGGTAGAATACTTGGATGCAACAGAACTGTGGTTGAAAGTCTATAAGACAGGTAATGATTATTTCAACAACTTTACAGGGAAATTAAGTGAATTTTAAGGCCAATTTTGTTTTGTAGACAAACTTGATCGAGGGGTAAAGTAGAATTTTCAATTTCCCAAAAAATCAGTTGTTCACAATTTTATCGTCTTTAGAAATGAAAACTCGCGAATGTTGTCATGAAAACTTTGCAGAGCAGGTGGTTATTCTATATAACCAGCCCAAGGGACGTTAATAACTTAACCTCTCTCTGCTGGGGCAATGAATGGTTGGTAATGTTGGTTAAAGGCGGTAAAAATATATAAAGAAGGTTTTGTTAATATTTTTTCAGGCTTAGTTCTGTTTTTGGCTTTCGACATTTAACTCCATTTTGTTTTACAATGAAAATTTTTTTAAAAAGTCGTCTGATATGTTTTTTTTTAATGAAGCAAATGACCATAATGTTTTCTGATCAAAATTGTATTTTATCGTTAATGAAGGATCGTCATTGACAGTCGTTAACGGCCGTTAACATAGAGTTGTCGTTAAGAATCCTATCGATCGAAGAAAAGTAATCTCACATTTCTTTAATCTATGTTGAGGGAGTCTTTGGAATTTGTGTAACCTAATGGTGTAAACCTTTGATATTTCAAACTTACATAATACATATTTTAAATATCTAAGGTCTACAATATTGAATTGCAAAGATAGTGGGGATTAGAAAATCAGAGTTTTTGGCAAAACTTAATTCCTGTACTTGGGGTCTTTCTTAAATAAATTTAGCTAGGTGTACATTTAACATGTATAAAACCTACAATAAGAACCAGTAAACAAAGCAAATATTTTACAAATAAATTAAAAAATCACTATTTAAGTGAGATGGGTCTGTTTACACTGCACAACTGCTGTGTCTCATGTTAATTGGACTATTTTAAGCAATTATTTGATTCTAAAGGTCGTCTTTCAGAGTTGAATGGTTCTCAATATAGATTTCTGTTTAGAGTGTGCGGAGCCGAAATGTGTGAGCCGGGATATGTCCTACACTGGAGATAACAATTTTGCAGGTTAAAATTTACTTTTCTTTCAACTATGATCCAAGTTGTGTAAATAATGAAAATTATCATTATAGAACATGTAAAAAATTTAATTTAAAGGAACATTAAAAATAATTTCAAGTGCTGTTAATAAAGCAGAATATCTGTTTCAAATTGGTACCATTTAAACCCCCTGTGACTTGAGAATTTCTGGTTGAGAAACAATGAAGGAACTTGTCAGAATTAACCACTTTTCATAAAGACCAGATTATAATAATGATCTGATAAAGGTTTACAGGGTACCGCTGTAAGTCTCTTTTAAAACTTTTTAATTATTTGTTGCTGTTTTAGTTGTATACTCTGTTGGTTCTCCTGATGAGTGTGCTTGTGAGTGCACAAAGACCAAGGGTTGCACTAACTGGGGATATGTTGGAACTGAATGTTACCTGAAGCATACTCTAACTGATCTTGAAGCATATCCTAATGCTCAGTCCGGATCTCTCCTCTGTTAGCATTTTGTTGATTGCAGAGGATGTCATAGCTGAAAACTTTTAAATTGTGGATGCTTGATCTCCTCTTTTTTATTAATCTTAAAGGGACTGTAAAGGAAAAATGAAAGGGGGTATAGGCTGAAAGCTAATCACTTTAGCTCTCGATCGCGACCCATGAAAGTTATATCTGATATTCCTATCTCGAGAAATTGATATACAACTTTGTCAAATTTATACAAAAATTAAAATATATACAATTTTGTATAAAAGTAGTGGGTTTAGATAGATCAAATTCAGCAAATAAGCAACCAATCTGAAAACTATGATATCCCAGAAAAAGCTAATTGTAACTTAGGTTTACTCCAATTCTAATTTTATATTTTTTATTTCTATTTTTAATAGATTTAATTCATAAAATTATTTATACGTCCGTATTACTTGACCAGAAATTCCACTAATGGCAGTGCAGTAAAGTGGTCACGTGATACAGGCGGAGACACGTGACCAGTATACTGCTCTGCCATTGGTGATAGTTCTAGTCACGTGATTTAAGTTTAAGATTTCTAAATTTTACATATATAAACTTTCGTATAATTTTAACACAGTTTTATATCAATTTCTTGAGACAGAAACATCAGATTAAACTTTTATGGGTCGCGATCAAGAGCTAAAGTGATTAGCTTTCAGCCTATACCCCCTTTCATTTTTCCTTTACTGTCTCTTTAAGATTAATTTAATCCTACATTAATATCCAGGAAATTATCTATATGCCACCAATCAGAGTGTCGATTGCAAATGGGGATCTGAGATATTTTGAAATTTTGCGCACGATCAATAAGAGAAATATTATTGGTCAGAATCCAGTAGAGATAACCAAAATAAAGGATTAAGAAGAAAATTTAAAATGTCCATAGTGGATAAAGAGATTTAGCATTTGGGATTAAGGCTAGCAAACAGAAAAGTTTTCAGTTCTGATAATTTAAGACAAAGCTGCTATAGATGTACTCAAATGTATATCAGCTGCTAAAAATTACCATGTTTAACTCTATAATTAATTAAACATTAATAATATATGTTTAACCTTTATTAAATAATTAACTGTCCATGAGGTGTGAACTAGAGATGTCAACGTTTTGATTTTTCTAGATTTTAGCTTTCGTTACGATAGTGTTCATCAAAAGTATTAACGTTTGAAACGTTAATTACGATTTATCGAAACGTTATTGTGAAAACTTTTTTGTTACACTTTTTTACAACCGACAATCAAAACTGTTTTTTCGTTTCGTTTCTGTGAACTTGTAATTGAGATAAACTCTGAAATTTTTAAACCACAATGATCTTTAAAGTTAGGGCTAGAGTACATACGGAGGATTTGATAGGGAACAGCCAATATATTTTCGAAACCTTCAGATCTTCATAAGAAATTAATATTGATATGACAAACCTAAAAAAATAGAATTCATCCTAAAACTTTATACAAAAGTTTTAACCAAAGATTAGTAATAAATGAAAAACTTCCTCCCCAAAAAACAGAATTCAGATTCCCCCAACACACATTATATTTAACCCCCAACTTAGAAAATTCCCTGATTAAAACACTGGCTCGAGAAATAAAGAATTAATATTTCCGCCACACACAATTAAAACTGTTTCATTAAAATAATATTTAACACAAAAGAAATGAAAAAATTAAATGTTGTCTTCGCGCTTTTCCCTAATATTTGAATAAATTCCAATAATCTAGTTAAAAGAAATAAATATTTACACAGTGCAATCCAGTAATGATGTATGATTTTGATTTACATTATTTTAAGAATTTTTATTCTAAATTGATAGGAAGACGACTTTTAGAATCAAGTTATATCTCCAAGAATGAGCATGAGCCACAGTAATTATGCAGTGCATATTGACCATTTCACTAGATACATTTAATCAATTATTGTTGTAATGGTGTCTTCCTATTTCATTGTTTTCTATATTTATCCAGACCTGAAAACTTTAGAATGGTGGATATCAAGATTAATGCGTAAACTCCTGGTTTTACTAAACACAAGATTATTTTAAAAATTTAACCAATCAGCATCTTTTTGAAAACCCGGTTTTGATTTCTGTTGTTGATGGTGTCATATCAATTGAACTAAACATCAATCTAACAAACATATATTTATATCCAGGATAGATCTGCTCGAGTTGAAGGATGGAGACTAAATGATTCCTTGATTACAGTTTTTTTGTTCGGAGATTTTCTGCATTATTTTCGAGCATTTCTTGGATTTGTCCTCTCAGATTTCTGCTTCTATAGCATATTATTTTACTGTAAAATGTAATATCAGAAATTTCTAGTATAATAATATAATTTTCAAATCTTGTCATTGCTTTTGATTTAAAAACTAGAATATAAACAGTCCCTCCCGTTTCCGCGTATTAATTTTAAAGGGCGCGCAAAATTTAAAATTATCAGCTTCATATACGCGACTCTGGTTGGTTGAATTTTATACACTTCTCAGGATTCAAGTACAAGATTAGGTTAGTCTCGATATTGAGATTAAGAGAGGATCAAGCATTAATCTCAATATCCACCATTCTAAAGTTTTCAGCTCTGAAAAAATTTAATACAAAATATCATTAACATAAAGATGTCTCAGCTTCATCTTTTCTTTCTATAAAGACACAGATATGAATTAATCACTATAATGAAACTCTTAAAATTAAGGATTGCTAAAAGTCAGGGTAACCAACCTCTCCTTGTTCGAGGTTAAAACTCCTGGCTGTTATATCTCTAAGCTAAATCAACTGAACTTGATATCCACAATGTAAACTTTCGGATTTATAAATGCAAAATAGGTAAACCGATGTTAGGTACTCTCACAAAGGCATTTCCCAAAGCGGCAACTTCCCACGGGTATTTTCCCAAGGGGCAACTTCCCAAATGTGCAATTTCCCAAGCGGCAACTTCCCAAGTCTATACTAGCCTCAGCGCTTGGCCCCCTAGCCCATCCTAGCCGCATCGCTCGGCCTCAATTGCAGCCTGGAGCCTCAGAGGGCCTAACCTAACCTTTAGGAAGTTGCCACTTCTGAAATTGAACATTTGGGAAGTTGCCACTTGGGAAATTGATACTTAGGAAGTCACCCTTGGAAAAATGCCTTTGGGAAAGTACCTAACAACCAAATAGGTTGTCAAATAGGTTGACAACCTATTTGCTAACAACGGTAAATCATATCACTAGGTGCAAGGGAATCCATTCGAGCTTGTTAAATCAGAATATAGAATGGTAACAGTAACAATGAAGAAAGTATTAGAATTAAACACTTTTCAAGTCAAAAACTGATTTACAACAGTACCTTTTAAACCTTTGTCTGACCAAAGACAATAAAATATCCTTTTTTTCCAGCTTAACATTGATTAATTTCTGTTGTATTCTTTCAGGGAGTGACTGATGGATTCTTGCCTTAGAGCAAAAGAAGTTTTCAGATTTAAATAAAGGTTTAAAGGATACCGTTGTAATACCGCCAGAGAGGATCACTTAACATACAATAAACATGATTAAAAAGTAATAATTCTTATTCAGATTATTTCTATGTTTGGTCTGTATATGTCAGGAAGCATGACTATTAGTTTTGAAGCTGTCCTGTAGACCTATTGTTAGTCTGTATTAAGAATGGTTGCTACCATATATTGAAATGAATTCCTGGATGACTGTTGAAAACTGAGGAGAAGGATCAAGATTCAAGGGTTTATGTATCTTCAACCGATAGTTGCAAATAAGATTAATTGTTGACAATAAGAAAGAGAATATCATTTATGTTGATCCTGGGGGTATTGTCTACAGACAATTATTTTATATAATGTAGTTCATGGGTCTGTTCGTGTAGTTTTATGGGTCTGTTCGTGTAGTTAATGGGTCTGTTTCTGTAGTTTAAAGGGTCTGTTCGTGTAGTTTATGGGTCTGTTTGTGTAGTTAATGGGTCTGTTCGTGTAGTTTTATGGGTCTGTTCGTGTAGTTAATGGGTCTGTTCGTGTAGTTTTATGGGTCTGTTCGTGAAGTTAATGAGTCTGTTCGTGTAGTTTTATGGGTCTGTTCGTGTAGTTTATGGGTCTGTTCGTGTAGTTTATGGGTCTGTTCATGTAGTTTATAAGTCTGTAGTGTAAGTGTAGTTTATGGGTCTGTTTGTGTAGTTTATGAATCTGTTCGTGTAGTTCATGAGTCTGTTCGTGTAGTTTAAAAGGTCTGTTCGTGTAGTTTACGGGTCTGTTCGTGTATTTTATGGGTCTGTTCATGTAGTTTATGGGTCTGTTAGTGTAGTTTATGGGTTTCTTCGTGTAGTTTATGAATCTGTTCATGTAGTTTATAAGTCAGTAGTGTAAGTGTAGTTTATGGGTCTGTTTGTGTAGTTTAAAAGGCCTGTTCGTGTAGTTTATGGGTCTGTTCGTGTAGTTTATGGGTCTGTTCGTGTAGTTTATGGGTCTGTTCGTGTAGTTTATAGGTCTGTTCGTGTAGTTTAAATAGTCTGTTCGTGTAGTTTAAAGGGTCTGTTCGTGTAGTTTAAAAGGTCTGTTCGTGTAGTTTATGGGTCTGTTCGTGTAGTTTAAAGAGTCTGTTCGTGTAGTTTATGGGTCTGTTCGTGTAGTTTAAAGGGGCTGTTTCTGAAGTTTCTGTTCGTGTAGTTTAAAGGGTCTGTTCGTGTAGTTTAAAGGGACTGTTCGTGTAGTTTAATGGGACTGTTCGTGTAGTTTAAAGGGGTTTGTTCGTGTAGTTTAAAGGGTCTGTTCATGTAGTTTATTTGTCTGTTCGTGTAGTTTAAAGGGTCTGTTTCTGTAGCTTAAAGGGTCTGTTCGTGTAGTTTAAAGGGTCTGTTCGTGTAGTTTAAAGGATCTGTTCGTGTAGTTTAAAGGGACTGTTTGTGTAATTTCTGGGTCTGTTCGTGTAGTTTTATGAGACTGTTCGTGTTGTTTAAAGTGTCTGTTCGTGAAGTTTAAAAGGGACTGTTTGTGTAGTTTTTGGGTCTGTTTGTGTAGTTTAAAGGGACTGTTCGTTTAGTTTCAGAAAACAATTATTGAAATTAAAGTTTTCTTTAAATTATCTAAAACACCCACCCACCTATCCCTCCAAAAA